CATATATAATAAAAATAATTAAAAAAATTACAAATAAGTAATAATTTTATTTAAAAAAATTTAATTTTTTTACTTTTAGTATGATTTTGTTTTTTCAAATAATGTAGTTTTCAAACTATTTTTTTTTTTTATACTAACTATGCAATATAGTTGTGCTTATTATTTTTTTTTATTTTACATCTTCATTCAAAAAATGCCACCTTAGAAGTGAGAATTTCTGGGAGATTGTTAATATAAATTAAAAAAAGTATAGGGCCAAGTCACCATTAACAACAATATCAGCTGATGGATAAAGAGAAAGAGCTTGGTCCACTTGATCAGAAATAACATCCAAAAGGGTATAGTCTTAAGATGCAGGAGAGAGATATAGTACAAAGAGAAAGGTGATTAAGTGAAGTGGTGCTAAACGAAAGCAAATAAAAGTATAGTTTGTGGAATCAAACTTAGTTTCTGGACAAATGGGTAAATTCTTAAGAATGTAGATGTCAAGGCCAAGCATGTGATTATTGGAGTCTTTACAAATTAAAGGAAGATAACCATCAACATTAAGGTTATAAAGATGAGACAGTCGAACTAAAATTAGTCTCACTATGAGCAAATAGATCAGGTGAACTTTGCAAGAGATTAGACTCAACAGAAAAAAAGTTACTTCAAAGACCACGAATACTAGTGAATGATAGATTTAGAGAACTTGGTGATGACAATGGTATTTTGTGTCTTATAGTTTTTGATATTTTAGTCATTTTTAAATTGGTTGAAGAACTAGATTCAAAGCACCGATAGTACTGTTATTCTCAGTTTACTAAATCTTGTATGATTTCTCAGATGTTAGGTTCTAAAGACTTTTGGTTAGTTTTCAACAGTATCATTACCTAAAGTAAGTCTAACATTCAATCTCTAATTCATGGGTCTGATCTTTTTACTTCTCCCCAGGATAAAGCAAAGAAATCTTACTCTAATTTGACTCTTGAATATAATGGCCATACTCTTCCTGCAAGTTAAACAGATTAATCAAGTTGTTAAACTTCCAAACCACTCTAGCTTCCAATGCTAAAGTTAAATCTTAATTAAAAACTTCTACAGTTTATGCTCCAGACAAGATTTCCATCATAGTCTTAACAAATTGTTTAAAACTTTTTAACAATTTTTGCTAAACTTTTAAAAGTACTAAACAAGTGGTTCCAATTTTTTAAAACACTAGAAAACACTTTGACCTCTCCAACTATCCTATGAATAGTCTTCACTCTGTTATAGATTTAAATACTGGATTTAAAATTCACAATTTTTGTTAGACAACAAAACTCATTTATTTACTGCAAAAACTTATTGCAATAATGTTGGCATTCCTATATTGATAAATAACAACCCTTTTACTCTCAGACAAAGTTTTATAGCACATTGTAAATGTAATTAAACCTGCTTTATCAGCCAAGCTTAAGCCACTCTCCCTTTGTTGTAAGATTGCATTTCGTTCTTTTTTCTACAAATATCATGGTCAATTTTCGTTCTTTTTTCTACAAATATCATGGCTTCTTATTTAACAATTTGCATCCTTTTACTGTATCTGTCCCTTTATGCTATAGAAACTTTTATTAATACAGTTTTTTTCAATTCACATCAAAAAAACCTTTTAACTCTTACCTATCTTCATGTTTTCCTTTTTTATACAACTTAAAACTTTTTAAGTCTTCAGTTAACCGTCTCCTAGTATTTTAACTTATTCTCTATTTAAAGTAACTTATAACTTAATAGTGGTTGCTTGCTATCTTGTTGGAAGTAAATAAGAGTTTAAAAATATATAAATATATGCCAGTATTTAATAAATAGTAAATGTAAGCATAATGTTATAATACATAATGTGTTATAAAATTTTTTCTAGGCCCAGCTATCAACTCTTGCTAAATTTTATAATTTTGCCGGGGCCGGGTTCACAAAAAGTCTCATCTTTAGTTGGCGCCGGGTCCCAGTGACTTAGTTGTTTAGTCATAAAATCAGAAACACAAGTAAAACCCATGCAATGAGTCAAGATCTAGCATTCAACATCTTAAACTGAAACAATGTATTATAAATACATCTAGTCTAATAGATAAAGAAAAGGGTGCAAAGCTGGTCAACATTTTGAAGTTTCCTTATATTATACATATTACATAGACAACCCATTTATATATGATCACACTTAACTTACCTACTGACATTTACACTTACGTTTGTACATAACATTATATAAAAGGAGTTTTTACATTTGCATTATTTTAAATTACATATTGTTATTAATTTATATATGCTATTCTTGAGTCCTTAATAAAAAGGAAGGGGGAAACATTTATTAATTTTTGGAAATTTTTCCCACCCACCCCAAGCTTATTAAGATCCCCCCCCCTCCCTTTATTAATTTTTACTTGTTATCATTAAAATAAAATAAAAATCAATGGAAATAGCCTTAAAAATTAGAAAATAATTATTTCAGTCACTGATAAAAAAAAATTTCAGTGTAAACAGGCTTTAAAAATTACTGACCAAATAAATCTTGCTTTATTAAAAATGAGCTTTTAATTTTTTTTTCACTTAAGTATTACAAAAAAACACTAAAGTTAAGTCACCCAATAATATTTTACTCAATTAAAAAAGATATTGTAGATCATTATGATATATGTTTATACTCTATAGTATATTAGCTATTAAATAATAGAATTCAAAAAAATATATTAATTTTCATTAATGAAAAAACCTTTCAAAAAAAAACAGCAGATGAAAAATCACATGACCAAAGAAGTAATTTTATTAGATAAGGTCATATTTTCTGAAAATCATATATACATATATATATATATATACATATATATACATATATATATATATATATATATATATATATATATATATATATATATATAAATATATATATATATATATATATATATATATACATATATATATATATATATATATATATATATATATATATATATATATATATATATATATATATATATATATATATATATATATATATATATATATATATATATATATATATATACTCTTGCATGGTAGTTGAAAAGAGTTTCCCATAAACTGTAGTTTTAAAGAACGCGTTAATAAACCAGACCAGAAAAAGTTTAAAAACTTAAATTTTTTTTTTTTTTTCAAATGATAGACTGCCTGCCCAAACCAAAACCTCAGTCGTTGTAGCAGCACTCCCTTGCGAGTCAGGCTATTTGTCAGTCGATGTAGCAGCACTCTGTTGCGAGTCAGGCTATTTGTCAGTCGATGTAGCAGCACTTCGTTGCGAGTCAGGCTATTTGTCAGTCGATGTAGCAGCACTCCATTGGGAGTCAGGCTATAAGATAGTCGATGTAGCAACATTTACGCATGTTTTAAAATTTTTTTTTAATAAAATAAAAATAAAAACATCACTAATAAAAAAAAACTTTCTAGTCGTTATAATTGCGGTTTTTTAAAAAATTTTTAAAAATCAATAAAATTTAATGTACTTCTGCATTAATTTAATTGCTTTGACATTTTGACGACAATCAAATACAGCTTAAGAGACAAGGTAATTAAAATTGTAGTCGTAAGAGACTTTTTTTACATTAAAACGCTCTTTCGACTACACTATATGGATATATATATATATATATATATATATATATATATATATACATATATATATATATACATATATATACAAATATATATATAAATATATATATATATTGTTTTAAATAAAAAAGTGCTTAACGCATTAGCTTAACGCGATATTGAGGTCATAAAATTATCTTTATTTTTTTTTATAGACGTTAAGTGTTTTAACTACCGCAATAAATAAATAACCGCTAACTAGTTAAATTTAATTAACTCAAATAACTATAAACGTTTTAAATATAAATTTATTATGAAAAGTTTGTTATGTTTTCAATTATTATTTTAATATTAATTTTAGTTTAATATTATTTAGTAAAATAATATATATATATATATATATATATATATATATATATATATATATATATATATATATATATATATATATATATATATATATATATATATATTTCAGAAATTTGTTTTTGAATAATTATTGTTTATAAATCGTTATTGAATAAAAAATATTGATTTTTTTATTTTTAAATATTTCTGGGGTAAACAAAAAATATTAACATTGATAAACAAAAACCCTTGCTAATTATTTAAACAGTGATTTTGTTTTGACTAGCAAAGAATAATTTAGGTTTTTAAGTAAAAAAACTTTTTTACAATATATATATATATATATATATATATATATATATATATATATATATATATATATATATATATATATATATATATATATATATATATATATATATATATATATATATATATATATATATATATATATATATATATATATATATATATATATAACTGTAAAAAAGTTACCATTTTAATTTTGATAATGTAAATATATTAATATAATAAATAATAAATACCATGCAAATTTAATATCAGACTTCGAATGCTCAAAAAAATAAACAATCTATCAAGATTGTTTACTTAATTAGGCATTTGTATATTAAATATTAATTAAGTCATACATTGTTTGTTAATTATATCAAAAAAATATATATTGCTAGTATGCCCTTATTTAAAAAAATGCCCTATACTGAACTAATGTCAAGGAAAATTCAAAAATTTTCATATAGCACTATATAAGAACACTTGCAAAATTAATAATAAAATAAAAAAAGAATAAATATGAGGTAATCTTTGATAAGAACAAATTTAATTTATTTATTGAACTATATCTTTATTTTTATTTATATACCAACTTTTTTATTTATATAAACAAAGAGTTTAAAGCCGTGCTTAGAACATATCACTTGCTGGCTGACAGTTCTAGCAAGTGGCTAAAAGCTGAACAACTTGGCCAACTAGCTGATACTGGCTGACCAACAAAGTTGCTGGCTTCTGGCTGCGCAAATTGCTCTGAATTATAATTAGTATCGTTTTCGAAATTTAAGTTTAAATTATTTTTTTTCAATTAAAGTTAAAAATCAAATAAGACTGATATTGTCATGAATAAAGATAGTCATGTTCATATTGGAAGAACTTAAATTGCTTCTTCTTGAGTTCAAAATCAATCCAGTTAATGAAAACATGGATTCCACTGATACACTCGAGGTTGGTATGCTAAAATACTCTTTTGCAAGCACTGCTAAGTGTGGATACTTTGCATGATGATTTCGCCAAAACAATAAACAATCCAGTTCTTCATCTGTCGTAAGTATATGAGATATAAATTGCTCTACTTCCGAATCAATTTGATAATTTTTTTCTGCAGAAGTAACACTTTTCTTCATCTCTTGAAGTAGTTGTCGCTTAGCACTAGGACCTGATTTTGAATCTTTATCATTTTCTGACTCTGATATAACTAAAACCAGATAAATCAATTTAATAAAAACCGAAATAAATAATAAACAAATGATACTTGAAGAACTCAATAATTTAATAAAATAATAACTACTGATACTGATTAAATAACTATTCTGTTTTCCACAATTAATATAAAAAAATTAATTTTTAATAAAATTTATTTGTGTTTCAGTAACTTTTTCCAAAACAAAAACTTATTTTATTGATATTATTAGTTGTATAGACATAATACCTTGAATTAAATCTAATTGGGTCACTTTTATGTTTAATGCATTCTCCAACAAACTTTCCTTTATTTCATCTGTTGTATATAAAATTTTTGTGGCTGGATCTAAAAAACAGCATAGTTTTGCAGAAGTTGATAACTTAAGTCTTTGGTCAATTTTTTTAGAGCAACATTCCTTTAGCTTTTTTATTTCATTCAAATCACAAGAATTAATTGAAAGTAGTTTTAGTATTTTGTGTTTAACTAATGGCAAAATAGAAAGCGAATTTCCAGCACTGACCACACAGGTTAATGATTCAAATGGTTTTAAAAATTTAACCAATTCTGAAATCAAGGCTTGTTCTTCATTATCTAAACAAAGGTCTTGTCTACCACATTTCTTGAGTAAAATTTCTACAGGATCTAATAATTGGTTAATTGATTCTATCATAAAGAGAGCACTGTTCCATCTTGTGCGTATTTGCTGTTTCAGACTTCTATGGTGTCTTTTTATAAAATTATCATCAAATTTTTCTTTACAAGCAATATCTAAATTATTTGCATCAATCATGTTTGCTTCATCATAAATTTGAATGGGAAATTGCTGCTCTAAATCATCAATGTCTTTTACTTCAGTTCAGCCTAAAAGTTTAGATGTTTTCATCGTATTCGCTGCACCGTCGTGTACAGTATGTAGCCTCATATCTCTACAACGCCTCTGAAAAAATTCTTGAACCATGTCTTTGATAAAATTATGACAACTTTTACCTGTATGACTTTCTAAAGGCAAACAAGCCAAGGTAAAAAATTTTTTATGCCAGTTTTCATTAATAATGGAACACTTCAGACCCATATAATTAATTTTTTTGTGCTTGTCAGTCCAACCATCAAATAATATTGTTGCTGCAATATCTTTTAAACTTTCCAATATTGATCGCCTTAAAGATTTGTACATATCAGGTAATGCTACTTGACTCACAGCAGAACCTGTGGGAAGTTTTAACCCAATGTTTTTTTCAAAAAACTTTTTAAACCTTTCATTATCAACATGAGAAAATGGTAGCAGATCTGTAGAAAACCAAAGGACAAGATCACGACTTATATCATATTTTGATGAACTAGCTATAGAGCTACTGCACCATCTACGTAAAATTTGATCATTTTTCACTTCAACGGCCGGTTTGTCTGTTACTACTTTGTGAACAAGAAATAGATGATTTTTCAAATTACTGCTTGATGTGGAAATCTTAACCTTGTGAATTTTCGATAAATGGCCTGCACCTGAGGACTCAAATTTTTTTTTTTCTATCAAAAAACATTCGCTACAGTAATAATGTTCATCGCCGATAACTTTACAATTTTGTGTCAATATTTGACCATAGTATTTCCATACTAATGATCAATCTATGGTTGTTTTTTTAAATGAGCTGCACAGTTTGATGTTCAAGTATTTTAAAGAACTGTTATGTGAAATTCGAGATTCTTCTTGATCCATTACTAAGTAATAGTAAAACTCTGTTTGTGTTTAATTCGGCTAATTTAAGTTGAAAAATGTTAGAGCGATAAAAAATCATTATAAGCCAAGAATATTTAAAATATGAAACAAGTGGCGGCCGTTGATGTACTTATATAAAGGAGGAGTGTGTCGTTACTATTTCATCTTAGAGAAAATTTAAATAGCAAATCAAAAAGCTGCACACACAAAAAAAGATTCTCCAAATATCTTGCTGCTTTTAAGTTATACAAGCGAACTTTGGGTTATTAAACTCTTCTTTTTTTTCTTCCATCCAACAATAGTGACTTTGAAATCGGCTGCAGCTGAATATATTGTTCGATTGGCGGCTTAGTAGTTGCTAATATCGCAAAAGTGGCGGCTGTAAAAAGTAGGTACAAGTGGCGGCGGCTTTTCGCTAATAGCGGCGGCTTTGACCTCTATACCAACTTAAATAAAATATAGTAAGATGTTAAAATATTTTAACATGAATTGTGTCATTTACAAACCGTAGGGCAGCTGTCCTTAGGGCACCATTGGTTTTGGGTAATATTTTATTTTCATGAAGATCACATAACTTACATTTGATTTTAATAACGTAAGTCTTCTCTTTTTCTGTGATAGTTTTAATTAGAAAAGCATCAGTAAAGTACCAGGATTCAAAATTTTTTAAAGTAAATCTTTTGTCCTTCAAAATACAATCCATATTCGAACTTTAAACAATTTGGAGAGAATAGAAATATACTAAGTTTTTATAAACTAGTTTGTCTTATTTTATACAGAAAAATAAATAGTCATTAGTAAAAAATAGAGACTGTCATTAAACTAAAATGTGCCTTAGTATTTATTTAACGGAGTCTGTAATATGCGCGTGCATAATGAAACCTCCATTATATAAATATATTCAACGTAATATTAGTGTCATCAGCGGATGTTATAGTCTACCTGTGATTTCTTTACCTTATAATATAACTTGATTTATGAAAAAAAAAACTTATTAAATCGCACGCAGAAGAAATTTAACAAATTCTCTTCATTCAAAAATTGCAAGTAACAGGTAAATTTTTTTTTTCTGTGCCGCCCCCTCCCCCACATAACTTAAAAGTAAAGGTACCTTTAACTAATAAAAAAAGCAAAGAGTAATGATTAATGAAATAACTTTTAGTACAATACAAATAGATTGTTTATTAATTGGCACAATTTTTTTAATATCTCGAAAAAATGACATTTTTTGAGATATTAAAAATTGTCAAAAATCAAAATTTTTTTGCAAATGTTTTTTAATATGAATTAAGTAAAAAACTCTTAAAAATTCTATATTACAAATAACATTTATATTCTGTATTAATAAATTTGGAATATAGATTTTTTTAAAGTTTTTTACTGAAAACTTTTAAAAATTACTACTTTTTATTAAAAACATTTGCAAAAAATTTGTAGTTTAAGGATTGACGAACAATTTTTCATGTTACTAAATTTGAATAAAAAGTTTAGCGTAAAATTGTTATAAAAAAGTAAGATATATCGCGATGACAAGTTACTACAATTATCTTTAACGTAACTTTTTTTTTATAATAAATATTTTTACATTTCGTTATTCAAAAGTTAATGTGGTTTTTTTAAAAATTAATTACTTCTTTTATGTTTCCGCTAATTTAAAAGTTAAAAAATGATAAAAAGTAGCTTACCAAAACAGCTCTATGCGTACGTAAAAATCGCTTAAGGGATACGTAAATCGCTCTAGGCGTAACGCTTTAAAACAAGGCCTATATATATATATATATATATACATATATATATATATATATATATATATATATATATATATATATATATATATATATATATATATATATATATATATATATATATATATATATATATATATATATACACATATATACACATATATATATACATATATACATATATATATATATGTATATATATGTATATATATATATATATATACATATATATATATAAATATATATATATACATATATATATATATATATATATATATATATATATATATATATATATATATATATATATATATATATATATATATATATATATATATAACCCTTAGAATTAAGTCGACATTGCTGAATGCAGTTAGGTCGGCCGACCTAACTGCATTCATTTGAGGTTGGCAAAAAATTACAGACCTGATTTTTCTTAATTCTTAGGATTGTATACATATATATGATACAAACTGTATGTGGTCGTCATCGGGTTGTCAAAAAACCTCAAACACTTTAAGGTAGGGGTGTCCTGGATAAGCTATCCGGCCGGATATCCGGGCCGGATATCAGTATTATTTGATATCCGTTATCTGGCCGAATAATAAGATTATCCGGTTTTGGATAAACCGGATATTTCAAGTTGATGTTATTTAGAAATTTAAAAATTTAATAAACCAAGAAATGTTATATTTTCAAATAATCTAATGTTAATGGTTTCTATTCAGTATTGTAATCATTATTAATAATAATTTATTATTCATATACTATTAAAATTAAACGCAACAAATACATCAGTTTATCACTCATTTATAAATTTATTTCCCTTATGATGAATAAATAGTAACATTTCTCCAAGTTAAGGTAACAGCCTTGATCGCTTTTTCTTGTAAATATTTCCATATTTGGAAATCAATCCCTCCAAAATACAGAGGATGCTTGAGGTGCTAATAATTTAAGAAATGGAAACTTCTCTTCGTGTTTCCAATAACTAAAAAAGTCTTCTTTTTTTTCTATGATCGAGTGATTAAAGAAAAAATCAACTTCTTGAGCAGCTTTTACAAGGGAGACTTGATCAGAATTTATTTCACCATTTTGTCCTGTAGTATAAAAGAATTTAAATACTAAAGATAATTTATTTATTTATAAATTTTCATTCAATAACAAGTATATAATACTTAAATTAGCAAACCCACAACATGCAGAATATAGCTATTATTAAAAAAATAATATAATTTTTCTGTTTATCAAAAATGTTTTTAAAATTATTAAAAACTTTTTTAATAAACAGAAAGAGATTTTCTTACCTAAAATTCCTTCATATTCTGCAAGTTCAAAAAAGCAGGAGTTAAAGTCATTCTCTTTTTTTTTTTTTTTTTTGGATTTTGGCGTTAAATGATTGGAGATAATAGTGGTGAAGCTGGTAGCTCTATTAACAACAACTGATAAAAGTCCAGTTATATTTCTTTGATTTTTGTCTGCTGGCCAGATTTACTACACCCCCTGCTTATCTGTTTTCCACATGGAATGCAAATAGCTATAGAATCACAGTTATCACTAATTTTTAAAATTTTCCAAATAAAACTCGCCATTTTGAAGGGTTATTACGGTAACTTTTGTCTTAATGTAATATTTATCTTACATTATCCGTATCCGGCTGGATAATTGTTAAATATCTGGGTATCCCAAATCCGGCCGGATAATTAAAAAATGCTATCCGGGACACCCCTACTTTAAGGTTGGCAGTAAGTTCAACCTTAATTCCAAAGGGTTGATATATATATATATATATATATATATATATATATATATATATATTCACCTCACACATATATATATATATATATGTGTAAGGTGAATAAATAAAATTTCTAAAATATATATAAATATCAAGTTGAAATTGTAAAATACAAATTACTGCTCATATGAGTCGTCATTCTCAGTTAATTTATTGACGTGGTCTAACGCAATCTTCTCAAGAGCAGATGAATAAACAAGGTCTTCAGTTCCTATATGCAATTTTCTTAGTTCATTGTGTGCTGACAAACATTCTTTTACAGAAAATTCTTCATGGCCAATGGTAAAATTAAGAAGCGCATAGATTGTTATAATCAGACATTCAAAATTTATATTTACTCTTCTAAACATTGCACTAAATAAGAATATAAACAAACATATATAAACATACACATGACTATATATATATATATATATATATATATATATATATATATATATATATATATATATATATATATATATATATATATATATATATATATATATATATATATATATATATATATATATATATATATATATATATACATATATATATATATATATATATATATATATATATATATAATATATATATATAAATATATATATATATATATATATATATATATATATATATATATATATATATATAAATGTTGTTCTCTTTTACTCTCTCTCTATAAATAAATAAATAAATAAAGTTTTTATGTAAAAAGACGCTCTTTTTATATTAAAAATTTTTATGTAAAAAAAACGTTTTTTTTAGATAATACTTGCTCAAACTCTCATTACATTGAATGAGGGTTTGAGCAGGTATTTTTCCATACATTGTATATACAGAAGCCTCACGCAGCTCCTTTTTTTCCATGACAACAAGGCCAAGTATGCAAATATATATGTATATATATACATATATGGGGCTGTTCAAATAATACGTGACAGTCTTAGGGGGGGAGGGAGTATTAGAAAGTGTCACTAAATGTCACATGGGGGAGGGGGTGGTTTGCCTCAGTGTGACGTGACAAAAAACATTTTAAATTAAATTGTTTATCATGCGTAATTAAATTAGTTTATAATGCAAACTCGGAGGTATTTATATATAATACTGATTTCGAGAAAAATTATATGCAACGACTTCACGAAAAGCGAGCGTTTTTTGTTTAACTTTCATTTAACACAAATTTTTGTTTTTGTTAAATGATTTGATTTGATTAATTTATATTTCCTCCGTACAAAATTATTTTTGTGGAAATTGTACGCATAAAAAGAAACTCTAATCCTACGAACATAGAACTAGATAGTGGGCAAGTATCTAAAAATGATGTGACATTTCTTTCCCAGGATGAAGTGACATTTCTTTCCCAGGATGATGAAGCAAGAGTGCCAATTGGATTGACAGCTGCAAACAAACAAGCACCAATCATGATGCATATGGAGTACAAGGTGACTTTAGCTGATCATGATTTTGTAATTGCTCCTCAACACAAACTTATTCCTTCAGTAATTGCAGCCATAGAAATCAAAAAAGATTGCATTGAAAAACAAGCAGTCACGTACTCTGGCCCAACATACATAGCAATCAGAAGTGCAAACATGATTCATCAACATCACTTAGTCACTTAGAAGACATTAATAGAATCAACCATCTTCCTGCATTTAAAAGCAGCTTATTTACTGAAAATGAAGTTAGCAAACCAGTCATGATTAAAACTGTTGATGGTGGGCCAGACGAAAATCCAAGATATGAAAAAACAATTCATTGTGCCAAGACTTATTTCAAAGAGCATGACCTTGATGAAATGTTTGTGGCAACTAATGCTCCTGGCAGAAGTGCCTTTAACAGGGTAGAGAGAAGAATGGCTCCGCTAAGCCATGACCTTGCAGGAATTATACTTCCATTTAATCATTTTGGAAGCCATCTTAATTCAAGAGGAGAAACTACAGACAAACTTATGGAGAAGGCAAATTTTGCCAAAGCTGGCGAAGTTCTCGCACAAATTTGGTCCAGCACAGTCTTTGATGGATTTGAAACTATTGCAGAGTACAGAGAACCAAACAGTGAAAATCGTGTACAATTAAAGCAGCTTGGAGCAGAATGGGATGCCAAACATGTCAAAGAAAGTCAATACTTGCTTCAAATTGTAAAATGTAATGATCAAAACTGCTGTGGTCATCGTCGCAGCTCACTGTTCCATCTTATTCCAACTGGTTTTCTTCCTCCACCAATTTCTTTGTTCCAAGGAGAAAATGGCCTTGAGTGCAATAATACAAAGAATAACTTTGCAAGCCTCTTTTTAAACTTATCACTAAGCAAAACAATTTTTCCAAAGACAATTACAAAAAAATTTCCCAAAGGATTGCCATACGACTATTCATGTCCGAGCATTCAAAGTTTCTTACCAAAAAGAATTTGTACCAATTGTAGTCTATATTTTGCCACTATCAAATCAATGAAACAGCACAAAACAGTTTGCTCAAGTATCGGATTATCGAATGAGATTCAAAAAGTTAAACATCATCGCCTAGTTGCTCAACGTCTATCTGAACTCATGTGTGTCTTTTTAAATTCAGACAAAGAAACAATTGAATGGCATGATCAGGACGATGTTAATACCTCTGATCTCAACTGGCCTTCAATAATTATTGAAGAGCATGGAACTCCAATACTTGAAGGTCAAAATCCAATTTGGCAACAAATTTAGGACATGTTTCTTAAACAGAAACATGTCAATTGTATTTTTTTTTAATAGGAACTGTTACAATTAAATAGACACTTGTGAAAATTCTAAACTTTTATCTTTGTCACGTCACACAGGGGTGGGGGTGGGGGAGTTTTTAAAAATGCCACAAAGTGTCACATAGGGGAGGGGAGGGTCTCTAAAAATGCCTAAAAAAATGTCACGTATTATTTGAACAGCCCCATATATGCATATATATATATATATATATATATATATATATATATATATATATATATATATATATATATATATATATATATATATATATATATATATATATTTATATATATATACATATATATATATATATATATATATATATATATATATATATATATATATATATATATATGTATGTATAAACCTCAAAGTGGGGTGGGATACCATCCCGCCAATTTTTTATAAAGTATAAACTATCCCGCCCCCTTTTTACAAATTTCTATATGTAACAATGATTAGGTAGGATGGTATTTTTAATTTACCTAGTTACTTTTTTTCTCCACTTCGAGCACTGTATATATATATATATATATATATATATATATATATATATATATATATATATATATATATATATATATATATATATATATATATATATATATATATATATATATATATATATATATATATATATATTATACATATATATATAAACATATATATATATATAAACATATATATATATATAAACATATATATATATATATAAACATATATATGTATATATATAAACATATACATGTATATATATAAACATATATATGTATATATATAAACATATATATGTATATATATAAACATATATATGTATATATATAAACATATATATGTATATATATAAACATATATATGTATATATATAAACATATATATGTATATATATAAACATATATATGTATATATATAAACATATATATGTATATATATAAACATATATATGTATATATATAAACACATATATGTATATATACAGGCCTTGACAGGAGTAAATAAGTGCACAAGTGGTGAAACTCTTGTCTAAAATGAAAGTGCAAATATATAGAGTTGCAAAATTTTCCTTATTAAAAAAAATGCCCTCTACTGAACTATATAAGAACACTATATAAGAACACTTGCAAAATTCTTTAACATGCTCTGTTTTTTAAGTTCAATTTTTAGACATAATCTTATGGCAAAAGGATTGTTTATCCTTTCGCATTTTACTAATTTGGTTCAGAGGTTTAAATAATGGGTGACTAAAGTTTTATTTCTGCCCCCTGTATGGAGAGCCTAATCATAATTCTTTTTGTTCTTATTGTTGATTATCAACAAGAATAACAAAAAAAAAAATTACTCAATATATCTAAAAAAAGATTAACACAAAAGATAACCACACCACATTAACAACACTATATATATATATATATATATATATATATATATATATATATATATATATATATATATATATATATATATATATATATATATATATATATATAGAGAGAGAGAGAGAGAGAGAGAGAGAGAGAGAGAGAGAAAGAGATATTATGCTGCTTTAAATGTGGTGTGGTTATCTTTTGTGTTAATCTATTTTTAGATTGTAATTCAGAAAAGATTTAAAATAAAATTTCCATTCATTTGAGTAATAAGTTGATCTTTTTAATATAAACATTTTAGGGACCATTTAAACAATATCAGGGACCTGTTGAATTGAAAATGAGCTTAAGTACGAACTAAATATTAGACAATTAAAGTTAAATTAGACTTGAAATTTCAAATTGTGCATCTGGGATTATCAAATCATTTCTTTCTAACTGCTTTATTAAAATCATCATCAAAGGTCTACTTGTTTTTTTCCAGTAACTTCTGGGGTATCTCAAGGTTCTATTCTTGGTCCTGTTTTGTTTTTTATATATATTATTGATCTTCCTGACAACTGCACATTTATAGTAGCTCTTTTTGCTGATGACTCAAGTTTTAACTCCTGTCTTGGCAAAAAAGCTTCTCTTTTTGATTGATTAGAACAAGCAGCCAATTTTGAATCTGATCTTACTTCTGTAACAGATTGGGACTCACATATTTTGGCTTATAAATTTTAACTCCAACAAAACTCAGTTATTTGCTGCAAACAACTACCACAATACTGTCAACATTCCTATATTACATAGATGAGTATTTGACTTTTTGAAAATCCCAGAAATTTTTTTCTATAAAAATCCTGGAAAATATACAATCAATTGCTAAATTAACATCCCTTTATAATTATCGCTTGATTCCATTCTCTACCTCTACAACCTTTTTGTCCATGTATGGAATGTTGTTTTCATATTTGGGCTGGTTCTTCTTATGATGCCTTTTTTCTTCTAAACAAGCTCCACCTGCTAAGCTTGAGCCTCTTTCCTATTTTCGTAAAGTTGCATCTCTTTCTCTTTCCTACAAATTCTATCATGGTCGCTGCTAAAAAAAGAGTTATTATCTCTTGTTCCATTAACAAAAACTCATTCTCACTTGACTCTTTATTATGTTATGTCTCATTCATTACTTAAATTTTATCAAATATATCAAATGTAAATAAACAATGTTTTTGTGTCAATATACACTAAAACCAATTGAAATAAAATTGAGAAAGATAAAATTATCAAAGAAGTTTTTTACAGGACTGCTTCAACCGTGTTAACCTTTAAGCATACCAAAACAAAAATAAGTTCAGTAAATTTCAGTATTTATTGCCCTATTTAAATCAGAGATTAAAATATGAATTTAGATATTGCCATTAAAGTTAAATTTAGTAGCTTATACAATGAATTTTTGAATATTTCCCAAAAAAACGGACCCCTGTATTTTTTTTCTAAAAAAACGACCTAAAAAACCAAAAAAATAAGAACCAAAAAAATGCATCACATCTCTCTCTATCTATCTATCTATCAATTTATCTATCTATTTATCTATCTAACTATCTATCTATCTATCTATCTATCTATCTATCTATCTATCTATCTATATATATATATATATATATATATATATATATATATATATATATATATATATATATATATATATATATATATATATATATATATATATATATATATATATATGTATACATCAACCCTCGGAATTAGGAAAAATGAGGCAATAATTTGCCGACCTCAATCTATTTGAGGTCGGCAAAAAATTTTTGATACAAAAGTCTGACCATAAAACATAGAAACGAAGTCGACAATTTTTTACTGACCTCAAACACTTTCAGGTTGGCAGTTAGGAACTAATTCCGAAGGTTGAGACATTACTTTAAATATCCTGATTCTAAAAAGTGTGAACTTTTACCAATTAGATAATGTTTTTCCAACTTTCACTGTATAAATTATACATAAGAACAACTTATTTTGTTATTCAAAAATACAAGATAGTACAGGATAATGCTAATAGTACGTCATGATGCTACTGTTTTTTTTCAATATAACATATTTGAAATGCTACCAAAGTCATGCAGAATATTAATATTTTTCTAATTGATAGAAAAGCTGATTTCCTTCGACTGTATATGCTGTATAGAAGTCAAAGGAAATCAGCTTTCCTATAAAGCCTAAGTAATTCCAATTGTAATACTTTGCTTTGTGTTATCGTGCCATATCTGACTTTGAGGCCATAAACTTTGGAAATGACTGCAGTTATATCTTTAATTGCCCTAACTGCTACAGTTTGTGAATGGCATGGTTTATGAGACAGTATAACTGGTTGGCCATAAGATACTCAGTTTCTTACCATCATAGATGTTAAAACATACTGCAACAATGTTTTTCCAAAAAACATCCATTTGTTGGTTAACATACTAAAAAATTAACTAGATAAGCTGGATAATTTATATATATAGATATATATATATATATATATATATATATATATATATATATATATATATATATATATATATATATAAATATATATATATATATATATATATATATATATATATATATATACATATATATATAATATTAAAGACTTTTCTTTAAGTTAAAGACAGCCTTTCCAAATCAAAACACTTAGGTATGTTTATTCACTTTATGCATATATTCCTAATCAGTAAAAATATCTATTGCATCGCTTACCTCTAAATAATTATATATTCAAGTGAGCAAAAAATAGAGAAAAATAAAAGAAATACCATAAAACAATAAAAAGAAAACATTCTTTATCAAAAACTTCTGAATGTTCAAATTTATGTTTTTTTTTTGTTGTTTTTTTAATAAAATTATGAGTTTTTAGAGTTATAACTATTATCATTGTTGTTGTTGTTGTTGTTGTTGTTGTTGTTATTGTTACTATTATTATATTGCTATTATTAATATTATTGTAATTATTATTATTGTTATTATTATAGCTATTATTACTATTATTTCTAATATTATTGTTATTATTATTTTTATTTTTAATATTTATTATACAATTATAATTATTTAAATTAAACATACTTTTAAGCTATTGAAATTGTTTTAGTGCATTTAGCGGATTTTTAGCATGCTGTGATAACTTTTTTTGTGATAAACAATATTGTTTTAAAAATCTACATATAGGTAGATTTTTGAAAATAGAATCACCTACCAGTGCTTTAAGCTTAACGCATTGGTAGGCATTTCAGCCAAGTATAACATAAGTATAACAAGTTTAATTGCCCTTTAATATACTTAATAATTTATCAATGTGGACAATAATTAATAAAAACATTAACTTAAAAACAATCTTATTTAACCAAATCACAATGCGCATTTTAAAGTTGATTTTTTTTTCCTCAACACTTTATTCGTCAAAACACGGCAACGCGTCACGGGCGTGATCCAAATGGGTATGATCCAAATTTTTCCGAAATATATTTCTGAATCTGAAATTTTGACGCCTGAATCTGAATTTTTGATGAAAAATCAAGAATCTGTCAAAGTGTATCTAAAAAATATATTCACTTCTTTTCGAAAGAAAGAAAATTTTTTCCGAAATATAAATTTTTTATATATTTACTTAGTCAATAAACTTACTTTTTAAATAAATAAAAAGTTATGGATTTAAGATATTAAAATAACTTTAGATATTTTAAAGTATTGTAACGGATATTTTTTAATTCAAATAACTTTTTGTAAAAACTACTTTTTTAGATCTTTAATATCCTTAATTTAAGCATATAACTTTATCGTTATAAAAAAGTTTAATCAACCTCAAGCGTATAACTTTATAGTATAATCAACCCCAATAATGGGCGTCAAGAAGAACTCTTCAATGGGGGTATATGTATTTTTTTGCCAAAAAAAATACATACACCTCCTTAAAGACACCCCATTAAAATACAAAGTCAAATGTTTATATGAAAGTTTTGTGGGGGAGGGGGATACCTTTACACAACCCTCTTCCCCGTCGGGACGGCCCTGACCCCAATACACTAACTTATGTAACATGACGTTTAGCGCTCCTCAAAAGAATAAAATTTGTTATATATTAATATTAAACTTAATGTTGCTGCCTTTACTCATTCGTGCGTTTTTGATATGGAACTCATGGCAGCCATTACATACAAGAAAGAGACGCAGCACCTATTTTTATATATAAAATAGAGCAAACAAAGGTGTATACAAATGTATAACTTATGTAAACTTTAATTTACATAATGTTAATAATTATATCGAGTTTTACAGTTTTACGTTTGCTTGAAAATTGCAACATATATAGCATTTATTTGCAGTTTTATGAAGTTAAATATTTTTGTTTAATAAATAATATTAAAAACTGTTTATGAAATATGCCTATGGGGCTGTTTTTATAAGATGGGCTAGCCCGGTTAGCTAGGCTGGCTCCCTTAAACGAAATCTCAGCATGTTTAATAATTACTATTAAAATATAGTTTTGGTTTACATGAAATGCGGGCTATTTACATGAGCAACTAGTAGGATTCCGCTCAGGTGAGACGATTTTTTTATCTCCGTATAAACACAAAAAATTGAGCTAGCCAGCTTATGAATAGTAGCTGATTGGATAAAATAAATCACGCTAATTCTTTTATCAAATCAAAAACATTCCTGATTGTTTTTAAATCAACTAATTAAATGGAAATAAAAAATGCGTAATTCAAATTTTAACTAAAATATCAATTTAAACATGTATTTTTTAATTTTACTACTTTCTATAGTCAGCCCGACTAACCGGGCTGGCTGCCTCATATATACAACCCTTAGGTGGCCGAAGTGGTTAACTCGATGCGCTCCCAAGGTGCATCGCGCTCAAATCCTGAGAATTTTTTAAACATCAAAACAGCGAAAGAAATTTCCTGCGCACATGTCACGATAAAGATACCTATGTTATTAATCTGCTTAGGTAATTATTTAAGTCTGCACGTTTAAGAGACAACTTTTTTTTTTTTTTTCTTTTTGACAACATTCAAACTTCTATTTTCTTTAAATTTAATTAACAAGGAGAAATTCCTTATAAGCTGCTGTTGGTCTGAAGGAAAATGTAATAAAAATTTGTTAGCAAGTTTAATTAAGTTTCTTAAGAAGTAAGAAAATTCTTAACAAATAAGAAAATATTATAAAGAACAAGTATAGAAATGGTCGGTGTGCAATAGATAGAATAGACTAACTTTATGCGGGTTTTTTATATATAACTCTAAAGGGTAGACAATGTGTATTTTTTTATACAGAAAGGGTTGGTGTGGAATAGACTTACCAAGATTCGTATTTTACGCGTCCGGACAGCTAGTATAAATTATTTTATACAATCATTTATATAATTTTGTCTATACCTATTTTATGTTTATAAATATAAATATCTATTTATATACCTAGATTTTTTTGTTTTATAATTCATCTTTATTTGAACTAAGCTTTCACTACTGAGGACCTTTTAGCAAGAGTGTGCTTTAAGACAACCACAACCAAAAAAGCGTAAGTATAAATAATTTATAAAAACGTTTTAGAGTGCATTCATAAAGATCAGTAAAAGCTATTTAAATAAATGACTAAAATTTAACAAAAATAGAATAGTTTAATTGAGAAGTAGCTTGGAATATTGATTCCTCAGTTTTAGATTATAATAGGTAACTACCTCGTTTGTTAATAGCATTAACGATTTAAATTTACCTAATAATTTATTGATCGTAACACATAGAGGTTTTGCGTAAAAAGCAAAAAATAAATAATCCATTGCTGTAAACATTATTATATATATGAATATATATATATATATATGAATATATATATATATATATATATATATATATATATATATATATATATATATATATATATATATATATATATATATATATATATATATATATATATATATATATATATATATATATGTATGTATGTATGTATGTATGTATGTATGTATGTATGTATGTATGTATGTATGTATGTATGTATGTATGTATGTATGTATGTATGTATGTATGCATGTATGAATGCATGTGTAATGTAAAAAAGTACATATATAAATAAAAATATATATTTTTATGTTTGATATACATGTGTGAGTATATATAATATTTATGTCAATCGATTGTTTGTTTTTTTATTATTTTTTTGCTTTTTACGCAAAATCTCCTTCCGTTACGCAAAAAGCTTCATTTTTTATGTTTATAGTATTGGTTCCAGGTTTTAAAATTTTTCAAAACTCTACATTCAATTTAAATACTTTGGTACTAAATCCTATATCTTATGGATAAGATAAAGATTTAAATTAAAAGGTTTTTTTTTTTTTAGAAAATCAATTTTACTGAATATCAAGCTAAACGTAAATTACCAGGAATTAGTCAAACAGATAGTAATACTTTTCTTTTTGCACTTATAGTATTAAATATATTTAGTAGAATATTGTTTCAGACAGGAAAAGCTTTTGAAACTTAAGAGGCATATTGGTTTTTCATATATTTGGCAGGTCATTCAGTGTTTTTGGTCTTGGATCGAAGCTCGGAGTAAAAGGGCGGCTAGAGGTTGTCCATAATTTACGTCATGCTCTAAAGGAGGGGGAGGGAAGTAGTGGTTTTGTAAAGACTTATAAAAAACTTGCTACTAAAGTGTTACAATTTTGTGACGGAGGAGGGGGGGTCAAAAACGGTCAAAAATTGGGTGACGCAAATTTTAGACGACCCCTTAATTTGTGATTGCTGAAGACCTTAGTCTAAAGAAGCTCCTATAATCAAATAAGTTATAACTTTTGAGCATATTTTTTAATAAAAAATTTATAATAAATAAATATGTTTATCTCTTCCTGCTTAAACAAACGGCCCGACTTGTTGCGTAGAATAATGAAATGTGATACGACGAGTAATGATATGTTGCTTTCCAAACTTTTTTTTGCTAGTGATTTTAGGATTAAATAAAAAAAGTTTTTTTTTTACAGAAACCACTTTAGCATAGTTAAACTAGCCCTGTTAAAAGATCCAAGTCTTAAATCTTTCACTTTTTTTTATGCGGATAGTTAAGTTAAACTAGCCCTTTAAAAGTTTTGAGTTAATAGTTTAAGTATCAGCATAAGAAAAAGAAAAAAAATTTTAAATACGTATTTTATTTCAAACATAGGCGTGTAAAAATTAAAACAAACAAATAATAAATTATGTCAAAGTTAAAAAACAAAAGCTTTTTAATTTTTTATGTGTGTGTAATCAATACCCAGTGGGAAGAAAGACGTCGAAAAGACGTCTTTTAAACTCTTAATTACGATGTCTTTAAGACCCCTTTTTTTAATCGATTATGCAAATCTAAAAGACATTTTTTTTTCGACAACGAAAAGACGTCTTTTTTATTTTAATCTTGTCATAAAAAGCCTTAAAAATTGCGTCTTTAAGATGCCTTTTTTTAGTCGAATATGTAAATCTAAAAGACATCTTTTTTCGACATCGAAAAGACGTCTTTTTTTATCCTTTATCTTGTCATGAAAAGACATAAAAAATGCGCCTTTAAGACGCTTTTTTTTAGTCTAATATGCAAATCTAAATAAGTGTTTTTTCTAGGGGTCGGAACGAGTTTTTTGCCATACTTATTAGTATACTATAGTATCCTATACACTATAGTATTCCTACTTTTCTTATATGAAAAGCTTTTTTTTTCAAATGAAAATGATAATAGCTCTTCATACAAAGTATGACAAAAAGCTTTTTCCGATGCCGAAAAAAAAACCTCTTTTAGATGTCAATATAAAAGAGGAAGCATTTTCTACATCTTTTATATATTTAAAAATAGGAGAATAATTTATAAATAAAACAATAGTATTGTTCAACAGAATATTTTTTTATCTTTCTCTTTCTTTTCTGTTTCTTGAGCGAGCTCTGTTTCTTGGCGTTGCTGAATAAAATTAACAATTTCACGTCGAGAAACCCTTTCATACGAGCAGGTTACGACTTCTAGCTGGTTACCACTTCTAAAAAACGAGTAAACATAAAAAACAGTCTATTGCTTAAATGTAATACAAAAAAAGCAAACGAAACTTGATTAGCTGAGTGGAACACATTATACTTACTGACTATTAATTCAAAAAAGGCTGATCCTTTTAATCCACTCATGTTTCCAGCGCGGTCCCTTTTTTTTGAACCCACTAGGTTATATTGGGACACGAGTCAAACGGTAAACAGTTTAAAAATATATAAAAATGAATGTGCTAAATAAATTTACAACCATCAAAATGACTGTACAACGATATATTTTATTATGTAGTACTTAATTCAAGCTAAACATTTGCACCTCTCAGATTATGAAACTTTCACACTATGAAAGCCAAGTTATTAATAACAGATGTTGATATTTTTATGTCTTCTATACCATGACTTTTTAAATGAATTACGCTGAAATTAAGTGTTGTAGACTCTTAACAATTTAAAAATCCGTTATTGAATAAAGACTATCAAAACAGATAATTTAGCTAATACACCTTGAGAGTTGTTATTCATTTAAATTGGAAAAAAGTGTTAGTCAAAGCTCTATTTTAGCCTGAAACATAAGGATGCTTTACTTAACAACATAAAATCATAAAAGCTGGCAATATCATTAACACCACAGATGAAATACACATAAACAAAAATGAAGAATAGAAAGCTGCAATGATGTTTAGATATAAGAAAGTGTACCTTTCCAGCATCATTTTCATTTGGTTTTTTGTATCCAAACCAAAATTTTGCGAACAGTTCTAAAGATAAATCTGTTGTCATTATGTGTATTTTATTAATTGCTTTGTTAATAAAAGACAACAGTTAACAAGGAAATAACATATTTAACATAAAAGTTAAAAAGCCAATCTTTTGTCTAAACAATTTCATCATTCAACTAAATAAAAACAACAAAATTATTCAGATCATTTAAAAATATATAAAAAAAAAAATTGCAAGCCTACTGAATGTTTCCTTTTTTCTATCGTTCGTTTCACTGGCACTAGAACAAGTAAATATATAGAGAAATTGTTTACAGGTTTTATTTTTTGTCTGAAAATAAATATTTTAAATTAATATGTAATAAACAACGTTCTTCAAGCACAATACATTAAAAAATTATTCTAAAAATAAACGGTAAAACTTTTAAAAACACTTACCTGCGACTAACTTAATTGAGACTAGATCATATCGATACCATCTTACTGGCACCACACCATTCACTTTTGCTTCTTCCAATTAACATTTTTTAGCTAAACAGCTGCAATTTTATATTTATTTCAGTATATATATACATATATATATATATATATATATATATATATATATATATATATATATATATATATATATATATATACATATATATATATATATATATATATATATATATATATATATATATATATATATATATATATATATATATATATATATATATATATATATATATATATATATATATAATATATATATAACTATACAGTAATATATATTATAGTTTATATATATATATATATATTATATATATATATATATATATATATATAATATATATATATAACTATACAGTAATATATATTATAGTTTATATATATATATATATATATATATATATATATATATATATATATATATATATATATATATATATATATATATATATATATATATACATATATATATGTATATATATATTATAGTATATATATATTATAGTATATATATATATATATATATATATATATATATATATATATATATATATATATATATATATATACACTCTAAGAAAAAACCCGTTATATACAACGAATTGTATCTGTCGCTATTGCACTAACGGGAAATCCATTAAGTTAACAAATTAAAATTTTAACGAATTGAAGTCCGTTAGGAATAGTCCGTTGAATTTACGGATTTATTTCGTTAGTGCAACGAATAATCTGTTAAAATTAAGGAGTAGGCACTAGGTAGCAAATTTTCCGCGGTTGTTATTCCTATGAAATAAATGTGTTGATAAGTTATTTTAGTGATTATTTCGTTAAAATCACTAAAATCTAAAATTAGAGAGGCCAGAATTGTGACTTCATAACCAAATAATCTTTGTATTTGTTAATGTTTGCATTATTTTATTTCGATATTCTACATTAAAACGTTTAAACCAAATATTGAAAACTAATCAAATATTTATAATATTTAATCCAATATACTTTAAATTACAATAAAAATAGTTTAAAAAAATATTTTTAATACACTATACTCAAGCTAGTACATTTATATAAAACACACACATATATATGTAATAGATGTTTAAAATAAACCAATGCCAAGATATTAGATTTTAGTCGCTAGTTTTGGTTTGGTTGGTTTAAATAGGTTTTGGTTTTGAATACTGTTGTTACTCGCACAAAGGTTCGCACTTTAAATCGACACCATGCTGTCAACTCCTTAAAGATTAATATAAAATAAAATAAGGAAAATATGGAAACTTAATAACATACCTAGTATAAAACCAAAATAAAATGTTACTGATAACACTATAGAAAATGTTTTTTGTAATTCATTATATATAAATTTCTATTCTAAATTTTGTTATTTTAATTAACTCTGATATCGTTTTCTAAAGATAAAGTTAAATAGAATAAGTAAATTATATCTTTATTAAAATGTAAATTAAAAAAAAGTATAAGATTACCTTGACATTATCTGATAACTGAAAGACTCTATACATTTCACATACATTAATACCTATCAGGAGCAAAAAATAAGGTCTCTAACTTTTTTAAAAACTATGATAAATCAAAACAAGATTAAATATGCAGACCAAAAAAAACGCAAGCAACTATATAAAAAAATTAATTTTACATCTTATTTAAACTTACAGTGTCATACCACTTGTCACATGTTTAAAATAGCTAATTCTAAAATAATAGTGAATATAGAATATAGTAGAATAATACTTAAAAAATTGTGATGTAAACTTAGTCTTAACTAAACTAAATAAATATGCATGCCAAAAGAAATGCAAGTTAAAATACAATTTTTTTAAATTTACTAATTCAAACTTACAGTGGGATATCACAAGCCACATGTCTAAAACAGCAAATTCTAAAATAATATAAACACACCAGATATAAACTTTTTATTATTATTTTAATAGTTGAAACTCAACTAAATAAATATGCACGCCAATAGAAATGCAAGTTACAATATAAATTTTACAACCAATTTAAACTTACAGTATGACAGCTTATACCAAGTGTCTAAAATAGCAAATTCTGAAATAATATAAACAAGCCATACACAAAATTAGTTGTAATCTAATTATATAAACATGAACGTCAAAAGAAATGCAAGTTAAAATATAATTTTTTTTTGTTTTTGTTTAAAACAGTAAATTCTAAAATAATACCAACACATCAGATATAAACTTAGATTAAATTTAACTAAATAAATATGCAAGTTACAATATAAATTCTACAACCAATTTAAACCTACAATGTGACACTAAATGCCGTGCCTCTAAGGCAGCAAACTCTAAGATAGTATAAATAACTCATTTATAACCTTAGTTGTAACTCAATTAAATAAACATGAATGTTAAAAGAAATAGAAGTTCCAATATAAATTTTTTTAATTTTACAACTAGTTTTAACTTATAGTGGGATAACAAATGCCATGTGTCTAAAACAAAAAATTCTAAAATAATATAAACACACCAGTATAAACTTAGTTTATGATATTGGATGCCACATGTTTAATTTGGAAATTAATAAAAATTGCAATTCATAAAATCATATTAACTAGCCATGTAAACTTAGCTGTAACTAACCTAAATAAATATACTTATCAAAGATGTTAACATTTTTAATTTTACAACTGATTTAAACTAATATGGTATGTTACTACATGTCATATGTCTAAAATATAAAGTTAAACAAGACTATAAATAATACATTTAGTCTATATTATAGAAATAATTGTTCAACTAACCCTTTACTACTAGTAAAGGATTAGTTGAACTTTTATTTCCATAATATAGACTATATGGATTTCATATATTCTTGCATAATTTTCTAGATTTAGACATATAGTAACTTACCATATATGATATGTATTAACTTACCATATATGTTATTATATATTATTTAGTAATACTGATGGCTTTTAATTTAAAATAAAATAAACCTTATTGTTTTATTTTCTATATAAAGCTTTATAAAGAAAATTTAAAATAAGTTAAATAACCTTTGAAATTACAAATAACAGAGCGTAATTTAAATTATATTTATCCATTTGCTTTGTCTACTAAATGTAAAGCTTTTTAAAAAATGGCATATTACACTTACTGCAAACAAATTTTATCTACGATGTAAATGTAAATGTGAGAAAAATGCATTCAAAACTTTATCATTTTCAAAATAAAAAGCTATAAGATACTAAAAATTTTTTTTTGACCGATTAGAATTTTTTAATCCGTTGAATCATAGTCATAAGAATAAATCTATATTTATATAGAATAAATCTATATAAATCTATATTTCTTATGACTATGGTTGAATTAACGAAATTTCAAAGAATCCGTAAATAGTTAATTTTACTCCGTTAATTTTCCGCTTTTTGGTAACGAGTTCATCCGTTAATTTAACGAAAAAGCGCAATCCGTTACTTTTTTTAACGGACTGTTTTTAGAGTGTGTGTATATATATATATATATATATATATATATATATATATATATATATATATATATATATATATATATATATATATATATATATATATATATATATATATATATATATATATATATATATATATATATATATATATATATATATATATATATATACATATATATATATATATATATATATATATATATATATATATATATATATATATATATATATATATATATATATATATATATATATGCATTTATATTTTGTATATTTTACATAATATATTACTTTATAATAAAAATTATTAAATAAACCCACTTACCGAAAATATTTAATTTTTAATTAAATTTCCTACGCAAAAACGTTTCACATAAAAAAAAGTTATAAAAGTATTTTGTAAACAAATAACGGGCCAATCAGAACGTAACAAATATATCGTAGTTACGATACTTTGGGTTAAAACCCATCATACTTAATAGCTCTAATACTTTATAGCTTAACCATGAGAGGCTAGTGTTTGCCTATAGAAAGGCTCCAGTGGAATTTACAATTGTCCATGACAAGCACCGGCGCTTCAACCTTTGCATTTCTAATCGGTGGTGCAGTTATGAAAGTACAAAATGAATCTTCATTCCAGCCTCCAGTTTTTATTTCATAACCAAGCACTCCCATTGTTGAAACAGCACAAATTAAACTAACATTCTTACCACGATTTGCAGATTTTAACATTCTTACCACGATTTCGCATATAAGAATGAATAAAGGCGCATATAAAAATGAATAGACGCGCATATAAGAATGAATAACCCTGTAAGTATTTTTAACCTCGTTTACCTGGAATGAAAAATTTGTTTTGAAAAAATAAACTGTTTTTTCAAAACAAATTGCTTAAATGATTTTTTTTGTTCAAATTGCTTTTTTACAATTGCTTTTGTAAAACGCATATAAGAACGAATAAAAGCGCATATATAAATGAATAAATGCGCATATAAGAATGAATAAATGCGCATGTAAGAATGAATAAATGCGCATATAAGAATGAATAAAGGCGCATATAAAAATGAATAAATGCGCATATAAGAATAAATAAAAGCGCATATAAAAATGAATAGACGCGCATATAAGACTGAATAACCCTGTAAAAAGACATAACAAGTCATAAAAAAGACGTCTTTTATTCGTCTAAAGATGTCTTTTTTCCCACTGGGTATCTTTAAAGTAACCTTGTTTTAACCTTGTTTTAGCCTTGTTTTAACCTTGTTTAGTGAATATACTACCCAGTGGGCATTTCGACGTCGAACGAACGTCGAGCGACGTCGGATCTCGACGTCGGATCGACGTTGGGTTTACGTTGGAAATGGAAATGTTATTTGACGTCGGATAAACTGACATCGCGCGACGTCGGCATTCCGATGTAAATCCAACGTGTTTTTTGAAAACTAAAAAACGTTGCCTCAGGCAGGAATCGAACTTTGGTCTATTAGAAACTGAATGCTACGCGCTTACCACTACACCACAGGGTCATATTATATAATGTGTTTATTTAGTAATTTATACTTGTAGCTATTTGGGAATTATTTCTTTGATAAGAAATAATTTTGTTTAAATATTATATAAATATTAAAACGAATAGTTATATATTATAAAAAATGTATACTCGAAAATGTTAATAGTTAAAAAACTATGCTAGTGCATCATTCAAAACCTCATGATGTATTATCAACCATTATTCAAACTTCTTTCCATTAATAAAAAACACGCTTAGTTCACATATTTATTGAAGAGCGCAATTGCACACATATTGTTGGGTTTGGATTAAATTTTCATCAGCGATGTCTTACGACGTTGTTCCGACGTCGTTTTAAGGACATTGGATTGACGTCGGAAGACGTCAAAAGACATCGGAGTACGTTAATATTATGACGTTGCCCGACGTCTTTTTATCGACGTTGGATCGATGTCAGTACTGCGACGTTTTTTGGACGTCTTTTACAAGATGTCGGAACAACGTCAAAATACATCGAAACGACGTCAGGGGATGTTGAGATAATGACATCGCCCGACGTCATTTTACTGACATCGGAACAACGTCGGAATAGGTCTTTTGACATCGCTGATGAAAATCGTACGTAAATCCGACGTCGGATTGACGTCGGGTGCCCACTGGGTAAATTTCAATCAAAGCGGTCAAAATTTTGCGAGAGACATGTTATTTTAGAATGTGGAGTGGGAGGTTTTTAACGCAAATTTACCACCGTGTTCTCATTACTAATTACAGAAAATCCTCATTTAGCATAAGGTTAAAGTTACAATAAAACTTTCTATTTTTATGTCTTTTAGATTGAAACTTACAAGATGATTTCATTTCAATTTGTAAATATTTTTTAACTATTTAGTTATACTATTTAAAAAAAAAAAAAATGTAAAAACACTATTTTACTATTTTAAATCTCCGTTAACATTTTTCACATTAAAATTAACGGAAAAGCAGTAAACAAAAATATGAGATATCTTATCCATTACAACTTACCTGCAACTGATATGAATATATTACAAGGTTCTGTAATAGTATTACTATTTAGTTTTTGCGTTTTTAAACAATATAAGTCATTTTTGCAAAAATCTTAAACTTAAAAAATCTTAAAGTCAAATGTCTGCAAGAATTTTTTCAAAGGAGAACAAAAAATCACACAAAGTTTTGAATAAATGCTGCTTCGAATTACTAAAAGATATCTAATGAGAAAACTGTTTCAAATTAGCGGGAACTTCTAAGAACTGTCAGTTCGATAAACTGGGAGTCTACTGAAACAGCAAATATATGGTATAGCATTCCAACCAGAACACGTCAAAAATATGCTGGCTCTTTACTTATTAGATGCAAAGCATAACTGGAAAATAAAAGGTACACTGCCAAAAAAAACGTATTTAGTACTACAATCCAACAACAAAATTTATTTGACCTTGAATTAATTTTCTTTTTCTTTTATAAAATAATGACAATTTGATATATATATATATATATATATATATATATATATATATATATATATATATATATATATATATATATATATATATATATATATATATATATATATATATATATATATATATATATATATATATATATATATATATATATATATATATATATATATATATATATATATATATATATATATATATATATATATATATATATATGTATATATGTATATATATAATAATATATTTAATAAACACTTGGTTATTTGTAAATATTTTGTACATGTTTCATATCTATAATATATAAATTTAAAAATATAATACTATTATTTTATATATGTTATTATGCATTATGCATCATGCATTATGTTATTATTATATGCTATTATGCATTATACATAGATTATACTACATTAAAAAGATTAAATTGTTTAACAGGGCTTTTTTATATGCCATTCAAAATAACCCCTGCATGTAAATAATTTGAAACACATTGTGTTGTACCAATCGTTAATAACTTGAGCAAGCTAACAAACCTTTTTATATCTTACCTATTTAATTATATAAAAGTTGCATAAAAGTAGTTATATAAACAAAAACCAATATAGTTAACAAGCTGCTACACACGCTTATATTAGTATTGAGTACAACGTGTTTCGGCTTTTTTAATTTGAGAAAATTGATTTATAAAAGATCTATAGCAAGCAATAAATAGAACAATTAAATTATATGTAATCAAAATGTAAACTATTTTTTATTTTTTTGATCTTTAAACTTCAAACAATTTTTATAAATATTTGTCGTAATTGCAGGCATAAAAAAGAGCTAAACCAAAAATATTTTTACAATATTTATATTTTACTTTTTTACGTTGTTTCATACTATTCTATTATGTTTGTTATGTTGTAACCAATTTCACCTCGAAAACTCAATTTCACTTCGATAAATCAATTTTACAGCACTTTTTTTTAACATAAATGCGCACGTCACTTGTGTTAAAAAAAAATACTTAACGAGATCTCAACAAATACGTTTCATTTTTAAATAAAAAATAAAAATTTAACTGGAGAAAAATTTGTTACTCTAGAAGAGCTACTTAACCAAATTACGTCATTATTGTCAATTTACACCATCGTCATTATTGTCAATTTTTTCTATTTGTCTAATCTGCAAGTGAATATAAAACTAGCAATTTTGACCGGGACAGATAATTTTATTTAACAACTTTGACAAACAAATTTATATTAAGTTTTTAAGCCAAATTAAAATTGAATTAAATGAAAATCGGATTAAAATTTGTTTAAAGTTAGGTTCTTGAAGTAAAATGTGGGAATCGTATCTTATATAGTTAATTCTATGTCCTACAGGTACGCGCTAACTTCAAAATGAATGTTTGCAAATAGCAAGCCAGGTAGCGTAAATAATAAAAACTTATTGTGTTTGTTAAAATTATTTGCTTGCGGTTTTTTTTTCTTTTATTTAAAATATGCGTTTGCAAAAATCTAATCAAAGATTGTTTTAGAGAAAATACATGCAGCAATTTAATAATATTCGCAAGTAATTGCATTCTTTAAACTTCTACTTACGTTTTTGTAGTTTTAAAGCGTTGGCATTTTGAAAATTTCCTTTATTGTTGCAATTAGAACATTAAAACGGAAGTCGCGATTAGCATGTAAATAGGACTCAGGAATATTAAAAGGTCTATTGAAAGTTTGTAATTTTTCTGTTGAATGTACTTTTAAACTGTCTGAATTTATTATCATGGTTGCAGTCGTAAATGCTTAAAAGCTTTATATAAAGATGGGGAAAAATGAATCAAATAAACTTTATAAAGAAATAACAAAGAATAAAAGAAAATTACTCTTAGGTAGTAACACACTGGTTATAATTTTTAAACCTGTTTTTTCGGAAGATATTAAACGTGCAACAAATCTGGAAGTTCTAAATGAAACAAAAAATATTTCACCTTGGAAACTTTTTGAGATGCTAATTGATGCGAATAAACTTATTGTAAAAGGACTGAAGCTTCATAACAGCTTAAAAGAGTTGCAGTTGTGTGGTTGGATAAGCCCTTACACTTTATTTTTATGTGGCCTCTTTGAAGATATTAAAGTTGTAAAAAACTCATGGGTGAAAAGAATGATGAGAAGTCCTTTAGGTTTTTACATTAAAGAACTTGGTAGGTATTTATGAAAATTTTAGTTTTCTATTCGTACTAATATTCGTTCGTACAATCATGCGATTAAATGAATGATTGACTTCTATTTTATTATTTAGCTTGTTTTATTCTTTCTTTTTCATATTTAGTTTATGTATACATACAAAAACTTCTAATTTACTTTAATCTTTATTTTTCTTTTCTTTCAAATTAACTTATTTCCAATTTAAATTCAAACATTAACCGAATTAAAACGATACGAGTAATTATGCTTTTTTGTAACAATTGATTACAAGTTTTCAAATCCCTTGGTGATATAAATTGTTTTTTCTGCTATTTTTTTTGCTTCAATTTAAATAAGATTAAGTTTAAAATCTCTATAAAAAGATTTTGAAGACACCAATCATTCATATCTTCTTTGAGCACTGTCTGTTTTTGTATACCCTCTTTATTAAACGTAAATTAAAAAATGTAATTAAAAAAAAAAAAAATTATTATACGAAAAAAAATATCTTTTCATAATATATATATATATATATATATATATATATATATATATATATATATATATATATATACATACGTATATAAATACATATATATATATATATATATATATATATATATATATATATATATATATATATATATATATATATATATATATATTATATATATATATATATATATATATATATATATATATATATATATATATATATATATATATATATATATATATATATATATATATATATATATATATATATATATATATATATATATATATATATATATATATATATATATATATATATATATATAGCCATTTTACATTTGATTTATTTACTCCAAAATATTATAAATCGTCTTTGACATTTTTGCACTTTTTTAAAAAAAAAAAAAAAATTTGCATTGATAGACAAAATTGACATTATAAAAAAATTTTCATTGATAGACAAAACAGATTAAAAGATGAATTGTTAGACATCAATAGATTGCTTGAATTTTTTTTGGTTTTAGTTGCGCGTTTGAAAAAGATTAATTAGCATATAAGGAATTTATTAATGAATTGTTTTTTTTTTCGTGTACATTACTATGAAACTGTGCTTAAATATTTAAGTTTTAATTGATGATCCCAGTTGCTACAAATACTTTTTTGAGTAGTTTCCACCATATTTAAAATGTTACTGATTCTTTTATAGCAATCAAATTATTTAATTTTAATGTCTTCATTAAATCTACTAATATTAAATTTATAAAATTAATAATATAGTAAAATAAATAACCCTCACAAATAATTCAATTGGTATTGATTTGTCACTCTCAAATGCCGAGTAAAAACTAGATATATTTATTGAATTTTTTTTAAAAACAAAACTCTGTAAACTTGACAGTTTTTAAAAAGTCAAAGTTTTTAAAAATTTAAAGTTATGTTTATTTAGATATTTAGCTTGATTTTATATTTAAAACAAGATCAAAAGTTTTTTGTTTTGAAATTGTTTAAGATATCTAAAAACAATAAATTCAGAAAGTTTTTTAAAACTTTACATAATTATAGAAAAAAAGATTCAGGACAACACTCTAATACAAAAAAAAAAAGGAGTCAGAACAATACCTAGCCTTTAAACCAAAAAACACCTAGCCTTTAAACAAAAAGTTAAAAAAAAAAAAAAAAATGCTCCAAAAAATGTTCATTTAAAGAACTTTTTTTTTAAGAAACTTTTTTTTAATATTTAAACTGACTTGTGTAAGTGATTTATTGAAAATGAATTTTCATCATTTTTTTTTTTTTTTTGACTTTTTTACTTTTTAATACTATTTGTAATTTGTTTCTTATACTAGTTGTTGTTTAATGTTTGCAAAATGTCGCTTATGCTTAAAAGACCGTATAGCTGAGAGAGTTAGTAGAAAGGCTCTTATGTTTCACCTTTAGATGGAACCAAGGGTTATTTTTCTAGTTTAAATAATTTTTTAGACTAGTTTATTAACAACCGTTGGTAGAGTTTTGGCTTCAGAACTGGAGGTCTGTGGTTCAAAACCGGATATGGCCATATATGCATCGTTGATAAGAAAGAAAGCGTGAACCACCTAGTTAAAAGCTATTCCGCGGTGCTCTGTGATAAGACCGTTGGAACTTCTTGGTGTACCTAAATAACTAACTTAAAAAAAATTCTAATAAATTGGAAAGCAAAATTTTTATTCGTTTTACTTGATATTAAAAGTCGTTGTTTAGGTCAAGCCAATTATGATAATTGAGTTTCATGCATAAATGTTATAAAATTAATAGATTATGTAAAAGTAAACTACAATGCGGAATAGATTATGTAAAAGTAAACTACAATGCGGAATAGTTTATGTAAAAGTAAACTACAATGCGGAATAGATTATGTAAAAGTAAACTACGGAATGCGGAATAGATTATGTAAAAGTAAAACTACGGAATGCGGAATAGATTATGTAAAAGTAAACTACAATGCGGAATAGATTATGTAAAAGTAAACTAAAATGCGGAATAGATTATGTAAAAGTAAACTACGGAATGCGGAATAGAATTTTTAAATCATTTATAGTATAAGTAAAAATATCATAATTGTTTATAGCATAATTCTTTATAGCAACATTATTTATAAATGCATAACTATTTTAACTAAAACTAAGTATTGTAGTTCTTTTTTATTCCAAATTATGGAAATAACAACATGTCGTTAGAAAGAATATAATTTTTTTAAAATAAAAATTTTTTTAAAATATTTTTTTAAAATAATTTGGTGAATACTTAATTAAACGAATTAGTAAATTAATATTTAATGTTAATATTTATTTGTAATTAATCTAAAATTATTAATGTGAATCGAAATCGGTCTTTTAATGTCTAATTAATTTTATTTATTATGAACTGGTTATGAAGGCTAAAAAAATTAGCAAAAATAAATTTACTAAAGATTGACCGATGGTGCTTCAAATCATGAAAAAAAAAAAAAAAATTCGCTAATTCTTAAAAACCGTAAAGCTATGAGAGTTATTGGTAAACCCCTTATGTTTTACTATTTAGTGGAACAAAGGAGTTTTTTGTTTTGCTTCTATTTTTGGTTTATGCTATTTTCAACATTTCTAAAGTTAGTAACCAATTTTTAAAACAAACAATAATAAGAATCTTGAATATTTGTTTATTATTTAGGTTTTGTACAAGATTTTTATGTTGAATCAATTCCTCAATCGCTTTTTTTATCTTTGGCAACAGCACTTTTTGAAACCATTGTCGATTTAAACCAGCAAAATATTTACCCAAACAAGGATACGTTACACGATTACTTAAAAAAAAAATACTCTGACATTGTAATTCCAGATTCGAAATCAATTCATGAATGTCTTAGAAAACTTGTATGCGAAAAACGTTTGTACCATAATGGAAGAGGTTATTTTGTTTTAAAAGATGATAGCTTTTTAAACAAGTTTACATCCTCCAATAGTTCTGTAAAGAGAATACCAATTAACGCAAACTCTCCGCCTCAAATTGAACTAGATTTTAGCCAAAAAAACGGAAAAACGAAACCTGATATTGACGCTTTTACTAAAAATGTTTCCAAACATAAAGATCTACAATTAGATGACAAAAACATAGGTATTATGAATTTTTTAACTAGAATTGAATCATTTAAGAGTAAAACAACTCAAGCGAAAATAAACTATACAGATAAAAATGACAACTTGCATTCATTCAAAACAAATACGTCAAAAAATGAAGTATTCTCAGGCTCAGGTTATTACGAACAATCAAATCATCTAAACTATATTGAAAATGAAAATTTTAAATACAAGAAGAAAAAACGAAGCAATAGTTTTCATGGAACAGATTCTGAAAAATCATTTGAAAAAAGCGTATCTTTTGCAATTGTAGGTTGTAAAAATGAAAAAACTGATACTACTTTTAAAAGACATCATTCGTTTGGAGCAGGTTCGCATAGCATTTTGCAAACATCTCAAAATTTAGTAAATGAGCAGACTAAGGACACTGTGGAAGTTAAAGAGAAAACTCAAGAAACTGTGGTTGTTAAAGATGTTGATGTCTGCAAAAATTATTATGATGATCTTGGTAGTGCTTTAAGCCTGTCAAATCAACCAGTAATTGACGCAGTTATTATTCCACACGTTTGTTCATTCAAAAATGAACTAAGTTTAGCAGACGAAATGAAAATTGCGGAAAAGGATATAAATTTTTCTAATGAAAAATCTCACAAAATTGATTGTAATTCAAAACAATTAGTTGTGATTGAAAAAAAAAACAGAGCTTTAAGCGCGACTTCTTTTCTTCCGCCACAAGTTGCATCTGATGCTTCTAGAGATCTAACAAAACAGTCCACATCATCAGGCAATTTTAATTTAGCAACATTTTCGGACAATCTTGTAACAAATAGTGATATAAAACAACTAATCTTATCTAGCTCAAATGAAGAACGGAAACAAATTCAGAAAGAAAGGAATTCAATTTTGTTTGCAGAAAAAAAAGGGACTCTGCGAGTTGTGGGTTTTGTTTAAAGGTAAATCCCAAAATCTCTTCAACTAAAAGTTTTATTTAAAAATGGATTAATAAATAGAACTTTTAAGCAGAATCATAATTATTGAATTATAAATAATGTATGTATTAAATATTTTATATATTTATATTATACATATAAACTTGCATTTATTTAAGGAATTTAGTTTTTTTAATTATTAACTATATATGGGCTATCATCTCCGAAAAAGGGTTTCCTGAGGACACGAGTTTAGGGTTTAACATGGTTTTGGTACACACCCAGTGGGCACCCAACGTCAATCCGACGTCGGATTTACGTTTGATTTTCATCAGCGATGTCAAAAGACCTATTCCAACGTTGTTCCGATGTCAGTAAAATGACGTCGGGCGATGTCTTTATCTCAACATCCCCTGACGTCGTTTCGATGTATTTTGACGTTGTTCCGACATCTTATAAAAGACGTCCAAAAAACGTCGCAGTAGTGACATCGATCCAACGTCGATAAAAAGACGTCGGGCAACGTCATAATATTAACGTACTCCGATGTCTTTTGACGTCTTCTGACGTCAATCCAACGTCCTTAAAACGACGTCGGAACAACGTCGTAAGACATCGCTGATGAAAATTTAATCCAAACCCAACAATATGTGTGCAATTGCGCTCTTCAATAATTATGTGAACTAAGCGTGTTTTTTTATTAATGAAAAAAAGTTTGAATAAAGGTTGATAAAACATCATGAGGTTTTGTATGATGCACTAGCATAGTTTTTTAACTATTAACATTTTCGAGTATACATTTTTTATAATATATAACTATTCGTTTTAATATTTATATAATATTTAAACAAAATTATTTCTTATCAAAGTAATAATTCCCAAATAGCTACAAGTATAAATTACTAAATAAACGTATCAATTAATATGTCCTTGTGGTGTAGTGGTAAGCGCACAGGAATTAGTATCTAATAGACCGAGGTTCGATTCCTGCCAAAGGCAACGTTTTTAAGTTTTCAAAAAACACGTTGGATTTACATCGGAATGCCGACGTCGCGCGATGTCAGTTTATCCGACGTCAAATAACATTTCCATTTCCAACGTAAACCCAACGTCGATCCGACGTCGAGATCCGACGTCGCTCGACGTTCGTTCGACGTCGAAATGCCCACTGGGCAGTTGACATAATGACGAGTCATGCAGCTCAACAAGCGCTACATTTGATATTTACAAAGTCGTGTAAATGTTTCCCTAATGATTCAGAATGTTCGAAAATTTGTTTGGATGTTCCGCAAATCACTTATTATAAATGAAATTTTACGAATGTAAGTAAAATGTACGTTTCATAAAGAATTTAAGCTGGTATGGTTAGCAACTAAAACCAAAAGGTGAAATACTCTTGCTGCAATGCTAGCAAGATCTTATAAAGTAAGTAAATCTATATTAAAAACAACGATCAGATAAAAAGAAATTCTCATAATTTCTGAATAAGAATATGCAGTAATAAATGAAATAACAATTTAAGAGCGTTTTTCTAAAAGACGTTACGTCATTTTTAATGTTTTGAGAAAAATAAAAAAATTTTCCGCCAAAGTATTCTTTAAATTTAAATAACCTTGTAATCGTGAATAAAGATAATGAACATTTTTATTTTTACTAACAGTTAGCTTGGTACCTTGTTGAACAAACGGCAAAAGTCATGCTTCTCAACTTGACGCAGAAGGTTTATCAGGAGTGGCAGAAGCATTTTTTGATCTTCAAGATATCTAACTTCCAGACATGGAGCAAACTCCAAACATTTATATGTTTATACTTATATCAAATAAGGATGTTTAGCAAAAAAAAGCCTGGGAACAAAAAAGCTCCAAAATTTTAGCCTCCCTCTATCCCAAACGTGAGAGCAACTAGTTGATGAAATATTTTTTGAACTATTTTCAACTAGACTTATATTCATCGATAAATTTTAAATTTCATAGTAAAATATTTTAGCGTTCAAAAAATATGATTGTATAAAGTTTAAATCCCCCTCAATTTGAAGGGGTTGCAAATGTGTTTCAAACACGCTGCTTATTTAAAAAATACAAAAAATATTTTATAAAAAAACTAGAACTCTGTAGAGTAAAAACAAAAAAATTTACATTGGCTTGAAGACTACCTAGCAAACAGGTCACAATGTATTATTTATAAAAAAATATATATATATTACATATGGCGTGCCCCAAGGTTCAATGGTTTTTTGGACCATTATTATTTTTATTGTGTATAAATGATTTATACTTAGCATCAAATATTTTAAATGTTATATTGTTTGCACACGACTCCGTTCTTTTTTATTCCAACAAAGACATAAAACCTCTCTTTAATATATTTAATGAAAACTATATTCAAAATAAACGAGTGGTTTTCAAGTAATAGGCTTTCGTTAAATGTAGAAAAAACTAAATTTATTTTATTTTACAAACCTAGTAAAGATGATGAAATTCCTCCAATTACCCAAAATATCTAATCAATAAAACATTTGTTAAAAGGGAACCAATCGTTAACTTTCTAGGAGTAATAATAGATGAAAATTTGTCATGGAAACCACATATAAAATATATTGAAAATAAAATATCAAGAAATATTTATATATTATTTATAAAACTAAACCATATCTTAACACTTCTTCCCTTAAAAAAAATATACTTTTCATTTATTCATAGTTTTATCTCTTACTGCAATATTGTATGGGGTAGTACTAATTATGGTAAATTGAAAAAACTTCATAGTAAGCAAAAACATGCATGCAGAATTATATTTGGTGCACACAAAACTAAACATGGGCTCTCTCCAATTGTATTTCAGTCTTACTTTAATAAAATATATCACAAGTATTCTACTAAATTTTCAATTAATAACTTTACTGTTCCAAAAAAAGTCAAAAATGAATTCTTATAAAATCCAATACCGCGGACCATTTCTATGAAAACATTTTTAAAAATTTATTACATAAAATAATAAAGTTCAAAACATCTCTTTAGAAAAATTTAAAAAAGAATCTAAAAATCTCTTATTACAAAAAGAGTTTGATCTAAAATATCTCTTTTAAAATAAATACATTAAATTATATAAATAATCTGAAAAAAAAGTTATTGACACTACTTCTCTATTGTTGCAATTTTAATCTAATTTAATTTTTTGATAAAAAACTTTAATACTTGTTAATCTTTGATATAATACGTTATATTTCAACACTAATATTTATTTTATATGATTAGTTATTGTAACTAACGTGTTTAAAATTCTTATTATGCACTTAGCTACTCTTTATTTTTGTGTATTAACTGACGATTTTTTAATGTAAATTTTAGATGATAAGACAATTTATGCCTTCTACTTGCTCCAGCTCTCTTATTTATTAACACGATTTATTTCATTGTAAGTTTTAACATATGACAAAAATACTCTATGCAAAAATAAAAACAAACTTCAACCGTCAATCTTCCATATTAATATTAAGGTGAATACAATACAATATTAAAGACTCATTTAACGCAAACTTCGTAAACATTTTTATATACTTGCGTATACCATCCAAGTTATATAAAAGATTATACTGTCATCACGAAATACTTCGAATGAATTATTTAACGGGTAACCAATTTAATTGGTATCAAAATTATACTCTTATAATTATGCAAAAAAAAGTTCAGTTACGTATTAACCAGAGTAATTAAGCCCAAAAATTTTCTAGACGAAGACCACGAAAAAAAAACTGACGTTCGGTTAGTTTATTTTTATGTTAAAAAATCTAACATTTTATTGTTGGTATTTATTTCAACGCAGTAGTTAAAAATGTGAAAATAGAACACTTTAACACTTTGTGACGTTAGAATAATAGGGTTCTATATCCATTTTTTAATGTTGCGAGAATTTAACTTTTGATTTTTAATTGTTTTACAGTTATTTATATTGATAAAATATGTTTTTTATGTTACTTATGTTTTATAATTAATCTTACATTATTTTCATAATTTTTAAAGTTGCTTGTTTACAAATTAATTGTTAACAATTAATTCCAACTTTGTTAAATAAGGTTGAAATTGAATTAAAAAACAAAAAATTACAATTTTAAAAATTATATAAATAATGATAGAATATATTAAAATTATATAATTTTGAACACAAAAATATAATTATAACTAAAAACAGAAAATTGAATTTTTTTACCATGAAAATTTGGAGAGCCTTGTAATTCTCGTCTACTAATATGCTATTTTGTCTTATACCAATTTATATTACTTAATAAATACGTATTCTAAGCAATCAATTTAACATCTTTTAATTTACGAATTTGACAAATTTTTACTTTTAATTTTAAAAATTTAAGAGCGTCTAACAAATTTTGTTAAATTCTATCAACAGTACAAAAAGTAGAACCCTATTATTCTAACGTCACGATTTCTGTCGTTATATAAGTCATAATGCACGCATTTAAATTAAGCTTTGTCATTAAAAAAAAAAAAAAATCATGGAAAAAAATAGATGAAGAGCACTTATGGTTTTTACTTTACCTTTAACAGAACAATATAAATTCATGGTAATATATATACTCTATTGGATAATTTTTATACAAACAATTTTAACATTAAAATTTTTGTGCGATTAAAAAAACTTTCCTTTGCTTCTAGGTTTTCATTAAACTATGATTAAACTGATGCATAAAAGAACAGACAATTTTTTATATATATATATATATTAATCGTTATTTCTTAATTCAATCTTAAAGAAAAATAAAAAAATTTAGGTAAATTAAAATTTAAAGTCAATCAAAAAGTAAAAAAATTTAAATTCTTTTAAAAAAAATATCTTAAAAATTTACATTTCTCATAGCAACACAGAGCAAGGTTACAAATTAGCGCGCTTTTAAATAACAAAAAGGTAGGGGCATAAACCGGCAAAGTACTTATTCACCGGTTGATGCTTGGAGAAATAATTTACTACAAACTGATTTTGGATTTGAAAGAAAGTTATTATTATATAAAATAAACAATTTATTTTTTACGACCATAAAAATTTTAGCTGATAGCACGATATTCACATTTACAAACTGGAAAAAAAAAATGTCGCTTTAAAAAAAAATCGTACAGCGGGATTTCCAGTTAAAATCCGTCGCTTTTTCTAATAAAATTTGACGAAATATTTATAGAAAAGGGTTTCAAAGAATAGGCTAACTATTCAAAAAATATCCCGTAAAATTTCAAAGTTACTATAGAAAACAAAGACGAGAATTGTAACAAAGAAACAGCTTATTTCTTAATAAATAATATGCAAACAAACTGTTAGCTCAAGGGATTTGGATAAAATTTTCTTAGGTTCTAAAAATTGAACTTTAAACTAGGAGACATTTCATCAGAGAGAATTTTAAGAAAACTCGATAAAATAAATTAAACAAACAAAAAAAAAAAAAAGAAAAAAAAAAAAAAACGTATATTAAAAATTGAGTCGATAAATTATAAAGAGATGAAAAAATAAACATTTCTTTTAAAGTAAGTTGCAAAATTTACGCAATTAAATCAATCTTTTTAAATTTGTCTACCATTAGTACAGGTAGTAAAAAAGAGAAAAATCTTAGGAAACAGCTATCAGAATATGAAAAATAATTGGCAAATAAAGTTGCTAAAACTAGGACTAAAATTTTTTTCGCATCAATACAAAAATGGTTGAATTCACCAGTATAGTAAATATAATATTATTATTACCAAAACGAAGCTATCATTCATAAGCAGTCTATAATACAAATTTATTCATTCAACTTTCTACAAAGCTAAGGGACAAATCCTTTGCTTGTTAATCAATAATATATATTTTAAAAATAGCACATATTAAAATTTGGCTCTTGAGTGCCCATCAATTCAAAAATGCAATTCCAATATATAAAGAGGTGTTACAAATATTTATGGGCAGAATCTTAAACAGCAACACCATGTTTACTCTTGTTTTGCAATAATAGCTGTTGCTAGTAATAAATAGTTGAAAATAAATAATCTTCACTCGAGTCTTTTTATACTACCAAAAGCAACAATATGGGCAGTCAAGCACGCACTCGAATAGAATATCATATATCAGAGCTGTGAAACGAATTTCAGAAGAGGGTCAGGAAAATCGTCAACATCGTTCTCTCCTCCATTTATATCTGAGGTATTCTGCATATGGGGTGTCATACCATCCCCTCTGTCTGAAAGAACAGAGGTTGGTGGTTGTAATGAGTCAATAGAGTTCGATTGTGCCGGAGATATGATTTGATGCATAGGAGAAGTTAAGGACTGATGCTGGTGCTGAGGAGAAAACGGTATGTGTTGAGGAGAATTTACAGAATGAGGAGAAGGAACACGCATTGAATGTGACGGGGACATACATAGTCGAGGTGAAGGATTTGGTTTCATAGGTAAAGGCGGAGACATAATACTGCTTTGAGGAGACATCATTTGAGATCCAGGAGTTATTCGACCACCCATCATTTGAGGCGAAGATTGATTATTTATTATACCACCTACAGGAGGAAGCATCTCCTGTGAAAATTGTCTACTTAAAAGGCGAGGATTGGACTGTTGAGGAAACACAGATCCTGAATTCATTATATTCATATTCATTGGCATTCTACGTTGTTGAAGTTGCTGTTGCTGCTGCTGCTGTAAGTTTTGTTGCATGCGCTTATTGTGCATGTTCCATACTTGGTTTAAATTATTTTGATTAGTCAAAGATTGATTATTCACATTTGGCATAAAATTATTATTTCTCACTTTATGAGATTGTATATAGTCAAATATTTGATTTGATTTCATATTTACACCATTGCCTACACACATAACATTCCTAAACTGTTCTAAATGAAGATTTTGAGATGGATTAACAGATGTATTTATATTAGTCTGTACTGGCATTCCATTAAAACCATTGAATTGTGCTCCTAGACTATGCTGCTGTTGTTGTTGCCACGGATTAATTCTTGTCTGATTGAGCATATTTGTTTGAACCGGCTGGCCAAAAAACCTATTATTTGAGTTGTTCATTATAGCAATATTAGCATTTATTCCGTTTGATTTATCTATTGGGAATTGAACATTTGGATTTGGCATTTGTTGTTGAATTAAAACATTTGGAGGAACACTTGTTATAGGAACAATTGTTTTTTGAATATCGTTAGGAGGAGTCTGCCTCTGAGGCATACGAGTAGGTAATTGTATACTACCTTGTATTGGAGGATTTTGACTCATTCTCATTGCTTCAATTCGGCGCCGAAGTACTTGCTGTTGGTGGACTTTTTGCTGAAGCTGCTGTTGTTTCATCTTAGCTTTAATATGCTGACAATATGGTACTGTACATTGGGGTTTCTTGCATGATTTTGCATGATAACAACAAAGTGCAATAAGCTGTTTGCAAATCGGACAACCATGATTAGTTTTCCGCTTACAACTTTTAGCATGTGAAACAACTTTTTTCATTTTTACGCAGCTTGACGATTTACAATTTTTATCCAAACAATCTGTTGCATGCTCAAGAGATTTTATACATAACTCAATAGACTGTCGGCGAGCTTCTTGTGCACTACTAGGAGTTTTTGTGAGATTCGGTGTCTCACTTTCAATATCTAATCCAAGTTTTTCCATTTTATGTTCGTGGCCTTTTTGATTATAGCATTCAATACATAAATCATAATCCTAAACCAAGCATTTTTGTTTTAAATAAATTTAAAATTCTATTAATGCTATATTTTATCAAAGAGATTTCTATATTATTTCAACTATGTATATAAAACTAACTTTAAAACAACAAACCTCACAAACAGTACAATGATATCGATTAATAATCTGTCCTTTACATAAATTACAACTGTAAACAAAGCGATCAGAGCCTTGATTATGGAGCTCTACAAGCATAGCCAGAGTAGAAAACTTTGCCCTGCGAAGAGTTGAGAATTCCCAATGCCTCTCTCTTGATAAAGTCAGAAAAGCATCTCGACCATCCATTATATCACAAGACATAACAGGATCAGGATCTTCAATTTTTTTTGTGGGCATATTTGCAGGGCTGTGAAGATGCAGAACAAAGAAAATCTATAAAATATATATGAAGCTTAGATATGGATATCTGTAGTTTAAAAGGTACTACTACTACTACTACTACTACTACTACTACTACTACTACTACTACTACTACTACTACTACTACTACTACTACTACTACTACTACTACTACTACTACTACTACTACTACTACTCTAATTATATTCATAATAATATTAATAAAAAAAATCAATTATAGCGCACCTCTTTGAACTTTTCCATTGTAGTAAAAACTCTTTGAGATAATTCAGATGCACCCATGGCATTAGGTACTGTTTTTTTAGCTGGTGTTTTATTTAGTTTACTTTTTTTACTAGTTTTTTTATTAGCTCTTTTGTTACTACCTTTAGCTTTTTTACCAGTGGATAATGCTACCTGCTAAAAAATTATGTTTACAGGTCAACATTACATCAAATATTGATTTAACATTTTAATCAAAATAATTATTCACTGAATTTAATAAAATACCATTTCATAAACAGCATTTTCTTCACAATTATCAGTACCCAACTGTGCAGCAGCCTGCATAGCTTCTGTTTTACGTCGCTCTTCTTCTTCTTGGCTAATTTCACGAATACTCTCTTCAATAGCATTAGGCCAATAGTCTCCTTCAAAATAAGGTATTTGAGTAGGTGAGGTAATTTCATCTTCGATTGCTTGAGTAAACATATCCTAGAAAAAAATATTTTAACCTTGCTTGTTAAAACCTTGAGGGTATTTGTTAAGTACTTGTGATATATTTTTATTTGTACAAAACTTGTCATTTTATCAATACATTTGGTATTTGTAACATTAACTGAAATTTTACCTTATAGCCAGCCATTACACCATCTTCACATGCTTTATTTAACATGACTTTGTACCACTCAACAAGACGTTTGTGTTTTGGAATTTTTTGTTCTACTGGATGACAATGAAATATGTAGTCATCACCTTCACTAGGAGGACAGGACCATATATGACCATAATGAAATCTAAAAATATAAATGCATCAAATAACTTGAAAAAAATTAAATAAAGAAAATATTTGAAACTAAATTTAGTAAGTTTGTAAGTTTGTTAAAAAAATAGAAAAAACTTAAGTTAGACATTCTTTCTAAACTTACAAAAAGTCCACAAAAAAAAAAAAAAAAAAAAAAAAAAAAAAAAAAAAAAAAATTAAAATTTCACTTAAATATAATCACCTTTAATAATATATTTGTAAAAGCTTATTTATTTTTATCTAATAAACAAAGTTTAACAAAAAATTTGTTTACCAAATATTAAATATTACATAAAGAATTGTTACTTATTTATAAAAATAAAACAAATATATAATTATACAAATGGTTAATAACAGTTATAAAGATGTCACAACAGCAATAAAAAAAGAAAAAACAGAGACTGAGATTTTTGAAGAATTAAGGCTAAGAGTTTTGTGCATTATAATTTTATAGCATATGCATGTGAATAGAAAGAAAGCATTAAAAAAATTGTAGAAGAAAAAAATTTGAAAAGTTAAAAGATGAGTGTATGGTCTCACTATAAAAGACAAAAAACATAACTATGAACTTCAGTTATAAAGAGGTTAGAGTAGAGGTTAAGAACATAGAATACATCTAATAGAGTGTGTCTAAAGATTAAGATAGTTTAGATATACATAGCATAAAGAGTAGATGATTAGATATCAGCATACAAAGATGATTCACAAGATCAGATCATGATTAGGAAAAAGTTAAGAAAATTTGATGCACAAAATCATGTAATATTGGAGCTTCAATATGCAAACCATATAGCTATACAACTGATAAGACATTAAAATAAGATACAGAAATAATGATATATGGTTTTAAAATTTATTTAAATAAATGTAAAAGTAATCAAAATTATATTCTATTAAAAAATAATTCATTTTTTTATCAAATTTAATTTATTAAATTTGATAAAAATTAATATATTTAATTATTAAATTTAATAAAATTAATAGATTTATTTGATTGTGTGTGCGTTTTCCAAAATGCACACACAATTAAATTCAAACTACATAAAATAAACAATAAAATGAAATGGAACATTTGTTTCCTTCTCTTTTATTTTTGACAAGTTCCTTGTTGATATTACTAAAGAGATTTAAATACATTTTTTCATATTTTTATAAATATAAAATAAATTAGGAAAAAAAAAACTTCTATTACAAACTACAATTTCAAATAAGAAAACTCTTTGATTGATAGCTAAACATTAAATTTATAACATTTTTTATTTAGTATGAAGACATTATAATTTAAAAGCAGTTTTTTCCTCTTTTTCTTTTAAATAAAACAAAACAGCACTTTATTCTTTATATAATTTACATTTTAAGCGATTTAACTACCAACTAAATAAAAAATCTTACCCCCTATTTTTGCAAAAATCGAAGTACCCAATTAAGATTTCATGGTACACACTTGTGCGTAAATGAGGTGGGCGAAAAAAATGAACACTGTCTAAATAAGACAAGTAAATACGATTTCTATTTGGCTCAGGGCAGTCAGAACCAAACTCCTGTGTATGCATACCAAAAAAGCAAACATCAACACCATCTATTTCTTCAAAAGCAAACAATGCTCGTGCTCGGTATGGAAATTTTTCTGGAAATTCATTACCATATCTGTAATTTAAACAATTTAAAAACATTTAGAACTGGGCATTTACTTTATGATATATCAAAAATTGTAAACAGATATCATTAAAACCTGGATCTCATTCCTTGTCGAACTTCAACAACCTTTTCAACACTACTGACTATGCGGATATGAATGTAACCAGGTGACTCATCAGTAACTTGAGTTTTTAAAAAGTTGTTTACACGATTCTCTATATGCTCAGCCAATTTAGATTGCGGCAAATTGCGCGCACTGTAGCGGTTTTCTACTCTGTTTCCAAGTTTTTTTTCTTCTCGACAAGTTGGGCAAATATAACTAAAATATCAGTTTAATCAAACTATTCAATGCACAATTTCTGAACATTTTAAAAACATGTATTAAATGCTACTTACCCATTTTCATATATGATGTCCAAGTGAAGAACACATACTTGATGCATTTTTCTACCGCATTCAACACAAGTTACAAATCTAAATTTTAATCAAGTTTCAAATATTTTAAACTAATAAAAACAAAACTGCAAATATACTTTAATGGCAGATAAAAATGTTTAAAATTTTTATTTAAAAATTCTAATTTAAAAAAAAAATTGAAATAAGTTTATAACTATTAGAGTGAAATTAACTTTATAGTTCAAACTGAAAAATGCAACATGGGCTTCCACCAGAATATTATTAGAAGCAAAGAAATACCTATATATACAGAGCATCAAGTTTTAAGATTGTTATGGTTTAACATCAACTAATACAGAGTTAATTTAACATTTAATATAGAAAATAAAAAGATACTAATGCAAAGATAATTATTTAAAGAAATTTAATTAAAGGTCTCATAAGTTGTATAATACCTAATGTATTATGTGTATTTTTTTAGTTAAAAATTAATTATTCAAATGAATTTAATAAAAGCTTACAAAAGTATTAACCCTAATGTATTTTTTAGTTAAACACAGGTAAAGAAAAGTACATGTTTAACTAAAAAATTTACATAAGACATCAGGGTGTTATTTAAAATAAAACAGGGTGTTATTTAAAAAATAGGTTATTATTTAAAACACATTTAATTAAAATATTCACATGTAATTAAAAAAAAAATGCTTCCTGATTTTAAATACAAATTATGCAATTAAAAAAAAATTAGAATAAAAAAACTTAAATTTGCAATTAAAAAAAAATTAGAATAAAAAAACTTAAATCAACTTGAAAAACATGCAGTTTGTGAAAAGCTACAGCACTTATTAGCAAAAGAAATCAAATATTTGCACATATTTATATCCACAAAAAAGGAATAAGGTGAAAAACTTTTTGAAAAGCATAAAACAATTTTAGGCCAAAGGGACTTATTTAATTTATTTTTAGCTAAAATCATAATGACAAATAAAAAAAAATAAAAAAAAAATAATGCTTATTGATAGGGGTGTACCCTAATGGTTGTCCAGTGGGGCATGGGATGACTCTTCTCCAAGGGTGACTGAAATTAAAAAAAAATGACTGTCAGTAGCCCGGCAGGAGGAACAGACAGTTTTTTACTTACAAAGTGTGTTTATTAATAAAACTATATTCTGACCTATGAAGGTTTTATTCTTTGCAATAACTTATAAGAAAACTTTAAAATGCATTTAAAGAAGTATACATTTTATTTAATAATAAGTACACTACATTATATAATTTTACTAAACTTATTAAAAAGAAGCTGACACGCTATTTAATGTTTTAAAATGCGATTGTACTGTTTTTTAAACGTTGTTGTTGCATTTTGAAGCACGTTTCTTCTTAATTTAAAATGATTTGAAATGAAAATTTGGAATTGAAAGAAAATGAATGAAAATTCATTTTTTTTCAATGCTAATATACCATTTTTTAACCATTATAGCTGTATTTTGAATCAGTCTAAAATTTAGGCAAAGTAAAGTATATTCTTATTTTAACTTTGTCAAACAAAATTATCATAATAAAACATTAAGATGAACATGAAAAATCATTATGAATGATTAATAGAATGCACGTGAAAATTTTTTTTTTCTAAAAAAAAAAAGAAGTATAATGAAAAATGTTTTAAACATTAAAAAGATGTTTTAAACATTCAACTAAATTAAATTTGATTGAATATTGAAAGAGAATAATAGAATATTTTTCTTTTTATAAATTATTTCTTTGTGATTTTAGCTTTCAACTTTTTTGTTTCACGTAATGAAACCTTTGTAAAAACTGACAAAATAAAAAAATAAAAAAAAAACCTGACACAAAACAGATATTGTCTACAACAAAAATGTCAATTTTTTTAAAGCTGTTTTTCTTAAGAATAAGGGTAATTATTCTTAAGAAAGAATTTGTCAATAATTAATTCATATTGGCATTAAAATAAAATATTGATAAACTACTACTTACGGTTCCAAATCCAAGTGATCATTTTTCAACTTTTCAAATTCATTTTTATTAATAATGCTAAAATAAAATTTTTTTTTTACTTGTAAACTTCAATTTTCTCAAAATAGATTTTATAACTCATTTATCATTTAAAATAAATTTCGTTCAAGTGCTACAAACATTAATAATAAAAAAAATGTTTAAACTTTTCTACCACCAGGGTTAGCATCAAATACATATTTGATTTTGAATGAAATATATTTGTAGTTTCATAAATTAGGTTAGTGTTAGTATTAGTAACTGCTGTAGCTGGTATGAGCCAGTGAGCAAGTTATTAACACACTATGACAGCTGATTTGCTTGATTGCTGCTCATCCAGCTATCAAGACCTGCTTTAAAACCGATTACTAATTGTGAGTTAACCAATTCACTTGGCAAGCTATTCCATAAATTGATTGATTTATTAAATAAAAGGTTTTCACAACATGCTTGCTTATTGATTTCTATGACTTATTTAACATGGTCACCTCTGGTTTGAGTTTGTTGAAAAGTTGAACCATGTCTCCTCTTTGTCTCTTTTTTGCCAATGTCAATCAAGAGCTTTTAGACAATAGTTGATTTCAGACATAGTTGATTTTTTAAGTGATGGTATTAATTGAGTTGCACAATGTTAGACTCTTTCTAATAAAGCAATTTCATCCTTATCAAACTGGTACTGTAAACTCTAAAAGTGGTCGCACAAAAGAAACATTAAGAATTCTCAGAAGTCTAATATCTAAACAAACGAAGCATTTTCTAATCCAACCCAACATTTGGTTGGATTTGCCTACGCATTTTATTACATATTGCTTGAGAAGATTACTCCAAGTTATGTTTAACTTTTGTTCATTGATGTAAAGGGTTGACTGACAATTTTTCAACAATAAATTGTATTGTAAAAGTTTGTTACAACAACAAAAAAACAAAGAAGTTCTTTGTTTTTTAGTAACAAACTTTTTTATTTTTAAAACTTAAATATTTTAAATAATTATAATACTTAGGTCGTTAGAGAAGTTCGTAGAACCTTATTTATAAAGTTACAATAAGACAGGAAATAATTAAATATTTATATATCATCTTAAACTGTGTTTAATTATGAACATTTTAAGTACTTTTTGAAATATTTTGCATGTTTATTAAAAAAATTATTTCAATTTTATTATATACATTTAAAAAAAAAAATTTAAAAATGGAAAAACTTGAATATCGAGCATATATTAAAACCTGTGCTCTATTTTTTTTCAGCACAAGCCATAACCGATGAATTGAATTTAGTTCATGGTGACCAAGCTCCAAAATATAGTATAGTTTTTTTATTATTATTTTTTTTTGTTATTCACCTCCTCAAGGCCGAGAAGGCCACTACAGACGAAGAGGCTACTTAATATTGGTTATAACCCTCTTAACTCTACAACTCCGAAACACGAAACTTGATGAACAAGGCAAGATGCGCGGAGAAACAAGTTGCCAAGTGGGTTACTTTATTTAAAGATAGTAGAGAGTCTTGAAGATGATCCTTGCTCAGGGCACCCTCAAACCACGTATACAGCTGAGAATATTGAACGTGTGCGAGCCATTATTGTAGAAAATCTGCATGCAACACATGATATAATTGAAGCCCTGACATCGATTAATCATTTTACAATCAAGGAAATCATTCACAACGCACTTAAAAAAAGAAAACTAAGATCACGTTGGATACCCCACGAGTTAACCGATCAAAATGAAAAGAATAGAGTTTTATTTGAGACAAGTTGGACGCAAGTCAGCTAACGCTATTTGGGTCAGTAAAGGTGAAAATCCAAGAACTATTGTAAGATTTGATAGGTTTCAGCCGAAAAGCATGTTCTACATCTTCTTCAAAACAACAGGTGTTGTTCATTTGCGAATACTATATAAAAAATTGTTTGAAACCTCTTATATGCGAAATAAATAAGCAAAGACCTAAAACAAGCACTCAAAATTTCAAATTTCTCCATGATAACAGTCAACCAACGTAACTCAAACCATCACAAATTGTCTAAACCAAGCTGGAATTACAATAATTCGCCACCCACCATACTCACCAGACTTAACTCCATCCGATTATTGGCTATTCAATTTGATAAAAAAAAATCTTGATGATGATACTGATGTCGAAAGCCAAAAAACCTGCATAACGAAGCTACTTGAAAGTATACCCAAAGAAGAGTATAAAAAAACATTTCACAAATGGCTTGAAAGGATGCAACTTTGCATAGATAATGATGGACATTATTTTGAACATTTAATAAAATTAAATTAAAAAAAACTCTTTTAGTTTTTTTTTATAGGGGAGTTTTACAAACTTTCCTAGTGACCTAAGAACAATTAAATAGTTTATTGAAAAAAACATTTTGTAGAATACAGCAACAATATTGGCAATAGAGTCTACATTTTTTGTTGCTCTTTTAAGTAAAAATATTTTAGAGATATGAACTTTTTTCAAAGTGTTCTTAAAACTAAGAACAAGAGTATTAGTTTGGAAATCTAGAACTAAGGTAATTGTATTTAATCAAATGTATTTGACTCCAACACTGACTACCATTACATAACAAACTAATTTACTTAACAACAACAAACAAATACTTAAAGTATAACAAAAATAACCTTGTCCTTAAACCTGAATCTTCGCCTAAATCAATAGATTCTCCTTCAAATTCTTTAAAACATCTTTCACAATAGTGATACCTGTTTAAAATTATATATATATATATATATATATATATATATATATATATATATATATAAAAATTTAACACTTCTACATTTCTTGAGGTAATTCTCAATTAAAATGATTTTAAGATAAAAAAAGGTCATCCCTATATATAGAAAAAGAAAATAAAAAGAAATTTAATGACACAAAAAACCATATTTAGACTTATGTTTCTATATTCATCTTCAGTGAAAAAAAAAACTTACCTGATTACTGCAAACACAAAACACAAAATGTCAAAAGAAAAAGTTAAGAAAAAGACTTACCTGTTTTGATATGAATAATAAGGGGTATCTCTTGGAATTGAACAAAGATTTTTTCCATAACAATATAAGACTTGTGGGTTAAAAACATACTGAAAGAAAAGTAATTTAAATCAACAAAACTATTGACTTAAACAAAAAAAGGTAATGATTATTTGTGTAAAATTATTTTTATTTAGTAAAACTACCTTTCTTCCACAACAATATCCAAGTTTTTTCATAATTGGTTCAATGTCTGCTTCAAATGTTTCTGAAAGCTGAAAAAAATAATATTAAATTTTTTTAAACATAATACATTAGTTTGTATACCACATTGAAATCAATACAACAAGCTAGAATTTATTAAAAAAAAAAATTAAACAGTAGAATAAAGTAAAAAAATATATATGTATATATACTTTGGTACAATAACGAAAAACTTTAGTTGTCTTTTTATTGTATAGCCAAGCATTTTCAAACATTAACCTCATGTCATCACAAAACTAAAAAATAATTAAAAAAATAAGTGTCAACTTATTATTAAAACAATTAAAACAATTTGTAATAGATACAATTATAAATTTATGTATCAAAAATGAAATAACTGATCATATGAAAACCATTATTTTCTAAACTTACACCCCAGGGATCTTTGTAACCACCTTCTTCTAACTTCTTTTTAATTGAAGATAAGTCCATTGGATTTTTGACAATAGTGAAATAATCCTTTAAAAATACAAAATTATATAAACCATAAACTATATACTTCAAATATATAGACATAAAAACTAAGTTTTTATAAAGCAAAAATTACAGGTATATGAAGAATCTCTGGGTTGACTGGTTTTCGGAAAGGCCCAGATTCAGGTTGAATGTTATAAACTTTATCGAACAGTGGAAGCAAATTTTCTGTTAGCTCTTCAACAGTCCAAACTAAAATAAACATAATACTAAAAGAATATTTGACAGTACAATTTTAGTACACAAGAAATAAAAGTATTGTGTAGACCTAACCACTAAAGTATATCTGCAATGCGGTTAAATATTCTGCTCACTTTTATTTTTAAAATTCATTTTATTCCAGAAAAATTTTTTTAAGAAAAAAAAATCTTTTTTTTTTTAAAAAGATTTCTTTTTTAAAAGTAAAAGATTTCCTTTTTAACTAAATAGCCCCTGCATAATTTCTAAACTTCAGCCAATATATATATAAAGAAGCCCTGTTAAAAATGATGTTTCTTTATGTTGTAATATCAAGTAAAGTTTATTTTCTTTTAACAAAGGGCAACGATTACTGGTTAACAGCAACAAGACAGTGAGTCCACAAGCTTTTGATGACTATGTCAACTTTTTTCCATTCTTGCTTCAGAATTTGAATAAATCACACTTACCGATTTTAAATCAGAAAAAAAAGTTTAAAGTGCTGATCAAGTTTAACACTCTGCACAGAAACTTACAAAAAGAAACCCAGAGATATTTTTTTACACCCCAGTTGATTAGAATTTTTAATTTTTTTTGTTACATTTTTTAGCCAATAAATATTTTAGAAACTGTTTTAATTTAATAATATAAATATTTCAGATACACCAATAAATATTTCAGAATACAGTTAAAAATACTTTGCTCATGAAAATATGAGCAAAAAACCTCCATTATACTACTTTAAAAACCCCCTATACTACTTTAGAATTAATATTTTTAACAATTACAAGATCTTAAATCTGAGTTTCAAAACTAAGGGTGTACCTTACCTTTAATTATTATATTAGGAAGTCAAAGAGCAAAATAAAATTTAAAATTTAGACAATATTATATCTTAAATACTCCATACAATTTTATTTATACTTCATTACATTATATTATTTGTCGTAAAATAGATTGCTTAGAAATAAAAAAATATTAATCCTTTTAGAATTGTTGGGAAGTAGAAAACTATAACTTACAGCAATTATTTTATTATGATAATAATGAGTGAACAAAATTCTTACAACAAGATTTTAGAACAAAAAAAGGAATTTTTTTCTAATGGACTAAAATTAGTTTCATCTAAACTATAAATTAAAAAAAAAAAAATTTTTGTTATTTTTTAAAATACATAAAAATTATTTTTTTAAATAACTTTTTAAAAACTAATTAATTTTTCACAATATACTTTCTAATGGAAATTTTATTTTTGTTTTGATTTTTTCCAAGCAATATTAATTTTCTATTTTTATGGTTAATGTTTTTCGTAGTCATACTTTGACATTTTGTTGACTTTTTCTATCTATAAAAGTATGATCCTGCCTCCACTGCCTACTATATACACACAAAATAAAAATTATAGGTACTTTTGGATCCCTGTGACCAACCAAATGAGTAATTTTTGAAAATTTTGTTTGTGTATCATATATAACCAGAAAACTCTTAATAGTATTTTAGGAAAGTTTAGATGTTTTATGCTCACCCTAATATACACATTAATTTTTGCATAATTAGAATAATAAAATAACACACATTAATTTTACATAATTAGCGTTGCATTAAATTGATTTATAATGTCATTTGGTTACTGAAATAACAGTAAACAGGGGTGTTAGATGTAAAAATGTTAAAAATAAATAAAATACCTTTATGTGATTTAGTACGTTCATCAGGAGTTGTTGATGAAGGACTGGGTAAAGCTTCTTGTTTAACTAAAGCTACAGGATTGGTATTTGATGCTACTTGTTGAGAAGGTTTTTGTCCAATTGGACAAGGAGTAGTGGAAAGTTCTGTCTTGATAACAGGCTTAATTTCAGAGATAGATGTTGCTACATTTTCTGTCTCAACATTCATTGGCGATGAAATATTTTCAATTTTTACATTCATAGGGCTGTTATCAAAACTTACTTCTTTTTTAATAGTTCGTACATTAGGTGAAGCATCACCACAATTACTTATCAAAAGATTTTGATTATTTGACGATTGTTGAGGTTGAAGCTGAGGACTACCACTAATTTCCATCTTTACTTGGTTCGATCCTAGTGCTGAAGGAGGAGGTGTCAAAGTATTTTGAAGTATCTGTTGCTGTTGTTGAGGCAACATTTGGTTTTTTTGTTGGAGTAAATTCATTTGTTGTTGCAGTTGAAGATTTTGTTGATAAAATAATTGCTGTTGAGGAATCTGCTGTTGCATTGCTTGCATTTGCTGGTTGCTCAGTGCTGCATTTTGAAACGAAGAAAGCTAATGAGATAAAAAAAAAAAAAGTTAAGATTCAGTGAGCTGCAATTTTTCATTACATCTTTGCTTTCTAAAGAATTTTATTTAAAATAAATAATAAATAAGGTCTTTGAAAACTACATTGACAATATAGTTGGCCACGTTTAAAATTTTTTGTATTAGATTTTTTATGACATATTGGTAATAAACTGTTTTCCTTCTGAAAGTACACAAACAAAAACATAAAACATACAGTTTAGCTTAGTTTATATCAGCGGCCATACTTTTAAAAATAAACAATCATCTATACAAATTTTACAAATACTTTATAGTCAAGTTATATTTTCAACATAAAAAGAAGACAAAGCAAACTTCTTCACTTGATTTTTTTAGATGCATCCAAAATAACAAAAGCTTTAAATTTCTTCAAATATAAATATGTTAATGCATCTTTATTAGGGAAGGAGAGTAGCCAGCTTTACATAATGCTTAATGCACCATTTAGCTTGCTTACAGCTTTGAGAACTATACTTGAACTTTAAAATAACATTATATTGAATAATATAAATATAATTGTAATAATAAAAATAATTTTAGCTTACAAAATTTATTTTAAATAGGTTTAAAAAAATAACTTACATTTGCGCGCTGACGTTGACCCATCGCATTCATACTCCTTTGCATTCCTTTTGGATTCATATTGGACATCATAGAACTAGGCTGATTGTTTATGTGTTGTAAAGACTGAATATTAGGTTGTTGAAAAAAATCAAATGAGTTCATACCATTTGTCATATTTCCATTATTACTAAGATAATCTGATACATTGACATTATTTTGAATAAGATTTTGAGGTCCATTTGACGGAGGTTGCTGTTGAAATGCCATATTGAGGTTTGTAGACACCTGAACATTCATATTTGAAACAGGTTGCAAACTAATATTTGCAGGGTTCATCATATTATTAGGTCCATTTATTTGATTTTGTGCTAAAATTGTTCATAAAAAAAAAATTAAATTATATAAAAATAATAAAAGCAAATAAAAAAAAAATTACTCTAGAATCACTTATAAAAAACCTTGTTGGGGGTTAATCATATTTGAACTGTTTTTTCGTAACCTTTCCATACGTTTTTCTTCAAGGTCTTTTTGGATTTTATATATTTTTTCGGCCAATAGATGAAAATAATCTTCCTAAAAGAAAAAATCAAACAAAACTCATCAAAGGTTTCAGTGTAAGTACATCTTAAAATGATAATTAAACAAAATGACATTAAATGTTCAATAAACTTTACGCTTTCTGGATTTATATTTATACACACAGATATATATATATATATATATATACACACACACACACACACACACACACACACACACACACACACACTATAAATATATACACTACTGTCCATAAATATTTGAATGGTTATACTTTTTGATATAAAATATCAAAGTTTTACTATTTCGAGAACTGAAAACAAAATCTTCCTGAGTTATATGTTAGCTTCTGAGTTATATGTTAACTTATCAAGTTTACTTAAAAATTAATATCAAGTCCCATTAGATTAATTTATAACTAACTTGCTTATAAATCACCTTTAGCGACAATAACTGCCATACATATTCTTGGCATTTTACTTCAATACTTATAGTCAATTTTATACCACTAACTAATAAGTTTTTTTCACATCTTTTGCATCAATAGGTATCAATTTTTTACATAATTTTCAATACAAATCCGATAGGAGAGATAAGGGAGGCTAAATCATTTTATTCAATATTTGATTGTTCACAAATTCAGTCAAATAACTTATACAATTTTTTTTTAAACATGTTTTGAAGAATATGTTTTGGATTTAAGCTTAAGTCATTTTCTTTTTAAATAATACATGACTTCCCATTATTCAACTTTCCAAAAGTATAAAATGACTTTTTTTCTCTATGATTATAATGTAACCAGTGGCATTCCAACCAAAACGGCCTCACACCTTAAGATTTCATCCACCATGTCAGGCCTTGTGATGAATAAATTTTTGACGTCATTAAATTCCTTTTATTTGCTTTTCATATTTATCGACATTAACTGCACCAATTTACTTAATTACCACAAAACTACTTTAAATCATTAATGTAGAAATGTTATTATTTAAAAATGTTTTGGAATGTTTCGTTTTTTAAAATGTAAAAACATTTGTTTATTTTCTCGACGTTTGACGCGTTTTGTCTATACTAAACGAATAAAAAACATTATAACTAAACATTTAAAAAAGATTATAAAATATGCTAATATTTGATTTTTTTTTTATCAAATATGTAATTTAAAGTTTTTCAAATAATTATTTTTTCTTTTTAAAAAGTCAGCGAGTAATAAACTGGAAATTTTAATATTGTACGATTAAAAAATGTGCAATAGCTAATATTTTTACTAGCAATTTTATATAATATTTTTTTATTTATTTATTTTTATTTATTTTCATAAAGCGGTTTATAAGCACAATCACTCGTATTGCTAAAAAACTTTAACAAATGTTTTGAATAGATTTTTAATGATTACAAAGAATTTTGTTTTTGGTAAAATAAAATAAAAGAAAATGTTAGAATAAAAATCTTATAGGCATAAAAGACATATTTCAGCAAAAAAATTATTCTTAAAAACTATTCTTAAAAATTATTTGAAAAACTATTGACGTTCCATTTTTCAGCAGCTATCCTTGAGCACACTTCGTTGAGTTTCGGTAACTTCTAACAAAAAAGCGCTTGTTATTATTTAAGTAATTTTTACAAAAATTTTAATAGCTGTACTTTTTAATTGAATCAAGTGGAATACGTTTTAATATTAATCCTTTTATTTTTTTTCATTTGCGCTTACCAATTTTTAAAATATTTCTTCGAAATTACTCTTAAATACTTTAAATATGTCTAACAGTTAATAAATATTTTTAAATCGATGGAATAATTTTAAAACCTAACAACCCCCCGTAAAATAATTGTTTAAGTTAAAAATCTAAAACTAAAAGAAAGTATTTTTGTTCAATTTTATCGACAACTTTGCTATTGCTGAATAATTTTATTAAAATGTTAGCTTAAAAAGATTTAAACCTTTATTTTAATCTGAATTTTTTCTACTTGTAAATAATGAGCATATTTAATTTTTCAGTAATTCAAACTTTTATATCAACAGCGTGTGGTTTTTAAAATACTTTATTAAATGTTAAAATAATCGCTAATTACTTCATAAAAATTATGCTCAAAAATATCTTTAAATATACTCAAACAAAAAATATTTTGCTCGACGCAAATAGCCCTAGCTACACGCAAAATCGCTCTTGGACGACGTAAAATTCACATCGCCTGACACTTTATCGCAAGGCCTGCCATGTTGCACAGTCGATAATACACAGTGTTTTAAGTTGGATAAATTTTACATTGGTACAATAATATTTAGTCAACTGTATGTCAGCAAAATAATGCATATAAAGAGTTGATTCATTTAACATAATTCATGGAGTAAAGCTGTACAATCATTCAATAGGAAAGTTCAAATAAAAGAGAAAAAAATCTAAAACCCTCTATGCAGCAAGCCTCTTATCATAATATATATATATATATATATATATGTATATATATATATATATATATATATATATATATATATATATATATATATATATATATATATATATATATATATATATATATATATATATATATATATATATATATATATATAGGGCTATACCGGATTTAATTTTTCCAGATACGGCCAGATTTGTCGGATTTCTACTAACAGATCCATCCGGAATCGGAGTCAAAGCCGGATTTTGAAACAAAACTACAAGAGCCAAATTACTGTTCATCTCTACTTGATGCTTAGAATGGTCAACAATTTTGACTATTCAGAATACCAAATGACAGCTATTTTCTCTTAAACTTCATTGTTGTTAGTTTTATAGCAATTTCTATAGAAATTAATAGACATTCTATATAAATCCTATAGAGTTTCTATAGGCCATATATTTCAAAAGTATAGAGAAATTCTATAGAACTTTTTCTACAGGATGTTGTCAATCCACCACTGTAGTGGATTAGCATGTCTATTTATTTTTGGTTCATCCAGATATTGGCTTAGCTGAGTGTCAATGTCTGTTGGTAATTGTTGTTCATGTGTTGTGCCACCAGCGTAGACTAAATAATTTCATCAATATATTGCCAGGGTAATGATGATGGTGTAGAAAAAATATATAGCCAGGGTTGCTTTGCTGGTCTTGACTAGGGTTGACTTCATAGTCTTTACACCTGCATCATTGCAGAATATCATGTGTCCTCCCTTCATAATTTTTGTTGCGTTGTTGTTTGAAATTAGGCTTAGCTAATTAAATTGTAAAGAAATGTAAATACAGATACCAAACCCAACATAAAGTTTATAGAATATCCGGTACAGCCCTAATATATATATATATATATATATATATATATATATATATATTATATATATATATATATATATATATATATATATATATATATATATATATATAGAGAGAGAGAGAGAGAGAGAGAGAGAGAGAGAGAAAGTGAGCAAGAGAGAGAGAGAAAGAGAGGAGAGAGAGAGTCTTGCACGGTAGTCAGAAAGTTTTTCCTACAAACTGTAGTTTTAAAGAGAGCATTAATAAACCAGACCAGAAAAAGTTTAAAAACTCAAATATTTTCATTTTTTTTCTTAAATGATAGACTGCCTGCCCAAACCAAACCCTCAGTCAATGTAGTAGCACTCCCTTGCGAGTCAGGCTATTTGTCAGTCGATGTAACAGCACTCTCTTACGAGTCAGGCTATTTGTCAGTTGATGTACCACCACTCCGTTGTGAGTCAAGTTGAAAGATAGTTGATGTAGCAACATTCCGTTGCAAATCAGGCTATAAGATAGTTGATGTAGCAACACTCCCTTGTAGCAGCAAACTAAAAGATAGTCAATATAGCAACACTCTGCACATGTTTTAAAAATATATTTTAATAAAACAACAACAAAAACACCATTAATTAAAAAAACTGGTCATTATTATTGCAGTTTTTTTAAAAAACAATAAAATTCAATGTACTTCCGCATTAGTTTAATTGCTTTGACATTTCGATGATAATAAAATGTAGCTTAATTGTTGAGGTAGCAAAATTGTAGTCAAAAAAGACTTTTTTAAAATTAAAAGTCTCTTACGACTACACTATATATATATATATATATATATATATATATATATATATATATATATATATATATATATATATATATATATATATATCAGTCTTCTCTGTTTAGTCAGCGCTTTTGCGCTAAGTCATTTTGCGTTTGCCCACATGCCCTTTAAATTGCAACAAAACTTTGATGTTTATTTGTTCAACTTTAAAAAAAAATAGCGTTTTTGTTAACCAGTTTTTTTATTATTTCATTTTATTATTTTTATTATTTTATTCTTTTATTATTTCATATTATTACAACTATTTCATTTAGTATTTATTCAAAGCATTCTTTTCGCTATTTTTATTTAAATTTAAATAGCAAAAAAAAAAATAAAGAAATAAAAAATGAATTTTTTATATTGTGCAGGCCAACTTAAAAATGACATTCCTGTCAGCTCTTTTTTGTGCGATGGCATTAAATTTTAAACAGAGACTGATTTATATATATTTGAAAACTGTCTGCTTTGAAATAGTTACAACTGCAAACAACTTTAAAACAACTTAAGTGTTTATCATAGCAATGTATTTTATCGACCGATCAGAATGTTTATTAACAATTTACTTTAATACTTTGTGACAAAATTATTTTTTTTTAGTTTTTTATTTAGGATAACTTTATAAAACTAATAGTTAAAAAATAAAATTATCAAATTACATTGTATATTGTAATTTACAAATTACAAATGTATATTGTAATTTGAACATATATTTAAAATATATGTTCTGTATATAGTTTTTTATGTTGTATATAGATTTTTGCATGCTGAATTTTAGGAGTTTTACAAACACACACACGCGCATATAGAAATACCTTGCTTGCTGCTGTGCTGTACATATCATCTTCTACTTTTTGTGCATAGAGCACAAGATTTTCCATTTGTTTATTTTTCATAGTCATAGGATCATTTCTAGCTTTTGGTATAATAGCTGACACTCTAAAATATTTTTAAAAAAATAGAAACTATTTAACCATTTATGAGGAGATTATTTACTAAACAACTACTTTTTTACTAATAAACAAAATCATTAATTGCACCAAATTTACTTGAGCTAAAATAACTGTACTTAAAGGTAACGTAACAACTAAAGCTTGATTGATAAATATAATATAAAAAATAAAACTATTTAATACAGTCTCTCTACAAGATGATTGCGTTGACTTTGTGTAACTGATTTATGCCAGGCTTCTCTGTCTTCATTAGTTGAAGATGGATTAGTCTGTGTTCTAATTTAAAATTAAAATTGAGTTATCATCAACAAATCCATTTCTTAATTATAATGTTAAAATTAAATTGTTAAATAATGGCTACTAACCCTGGGGGTATATTTCCACGATTTACATTGTCGTTGTTAGAATCTGAAATTAAAACTGAAAATATAATATTTTTTCGTAAAAACTTAAAAAAATTTATTTGAAAATAAGTAATATATAATCAACCTCTTGGCTCATTTCCACCCAGCCTTCTACTAGTAGGTCCATTTTTTAATGGTAGACAAACTGGGCAATCTGTCCGATTACAGAACTTCCAATGAGAGATGATTTGACGCGATGAGGCACAGTGTGCAACTAAAAAAAATAAAAGCACAAAAAAACTAAAAAACACATCTTTATCTTCAAGAAAGAAAAAAAAAAGAAAAGCTAAACTGAAAAAAACTTGAATTTGCAGCACACAAAATAAAAAATCAAAGTTCAATTTGACCAGGTAACACATAGATTTTGCCGGTCAACTGTTTTAATTTGTCTGTTTTAATTTTTGTTTCATAACATTTACTAAACTTTGTAAATAAAAAAATACTTAATGCTATAAAAGTATTACTTTTGACATTTTAAAATCAAATAATTTTTTTTTTTTTTTAAAACGAAAACTCACAACAAAGTTTTTAAAAACTACTAATGCTAATTGTGTTCTTGATAACTCAGAAAAAAAAATGCGCTAATGATAATTATAAATATTTAAATTGCCAAACAGGTTGCAAGCCTTCCCAGGAAACATGTGTGATTTTTTGTCTTGTATACCCATGCATAAGTATTTTATTTTAGATAACTTGGTCACAAGTATATAGTCTTTTTATGAAAACATTTATGTAATGCACGATATACTTTTTTATATAACTTCATATGTTTGCTTTGTAACCATTTATCTTTTCTTATTTTTATACAAAAAATCTTTTTCTTCTTTGTTTCTGAATGATACACATCTCATCACATTCAGATTTTATAAACCATTAAAACTTTTCAGTGTATTTTCTAAGTAAGGCGCACACACATATATACATAGTTTTAAAGTTTCAATTAGGCCATGAAACGTATAATTTAGGAAGAGGTTAGCCTAGAACCATGGACAAGTCTACACCTTATCCATAAAAACTAAATATGCGTATAATTAGTAGGAAATAAATATAATTACATAATACAAAAAGTTATACATAAAAGTATACAGGTGCATTACATTTTCATAAAAAGACAATATATACTTGTTGCATTAAAATTATACAAATATATTTTACTAACACATTGCAATTTATATTTTCACTTTCCTCTTTAAAAAAAGGTTAAATAAAGGAAAATCATTCTTTTTAATGTAGACTTTAAACTGCTTTTTTTTTTTTTTAGCTTCGCCCAATCTAAATTTGTTGCTGAAAATAACAACCACTCTAAAGAAATAAAAACAGTAAACAAATTATTTAAATTATTAATTTATTTTTATTTTTTTCTATTTAATTTTTTTTCTATTTTCTATTTTGTTAGTTTTACTTTTTCTTGCATTTGTATTTTTCTTGTAACTCACTTTTTTCCAAAATGATTAATATTTTAAAACTTGCAAATGGTCGTGACCAAGTTGTTGAAAATAAAGTACTTGTGTGTGGTCATACAAGACGAAAAACCGCACATATTTCCTAGGAAGACTTGGGTTAACAACCTTCATTAATTGCAATGAGTTCAAAAAAAGGTGGCAAAATTTTAAGAGGTTTTAAAGATTTAGTAAAAAAGAGTTAAATAAAAAAAATTGAAAAAAAAAAAAAAAAAAAAAAAAAAAAAAAAAAATCATCAAATGTTTTTAATCAACAAAAAATAAGAATAAAAATAAACTTTATTTTATCAAATCAAAGACAATCATTGATTTAATTGTGAAATGAAACTAAAGATGTGTTATGTCATATAAAATATGTGACAACAAAGTAAATGAAAAGTAGCTCATTATAAAATATAAAAATATTTTAAACGACTTTTCAAAATATTTCAGTCTAAAATATTTTATATATAATAAATATTTATCATTTATAAAATACATCCAGGTTGTTTGTAAATGCATATTTTTTAAAACCAAGATTTTTTTACCATTCAACCTTGACAGCCAATACTCATTTTAGGAGGTCAAAACAGCAATTTTGGTTATTTCAGGTGGTTATTGATTAATTAAAGCGGTTTATTGTGTGCTGAATTCGTAAAAAACGCAATTTAAACTTTTTATATTGCGATTTATAAAGCATAATATAAAAGTATTTTAAAGCGTATTATTATTTTTTATTCAAAAGTATTTTTATATTATGTAAAATGCTTTTAAAACATGATCGTTTTTCAATAAACCCATTTTATTTAAATTATCATAAAATATCAACCACAAAAATAATTATTGTTTACAATAAACCATTTTGTTTAAATTATCATAGAATATTATACATAATTTGATTCATTTATATTAATATGTATTTTTTGATAAATTTAAATCTTTTTAAACTTTTTTTATGAATAATTTTATAAACAACATTTAATATAAAAATTGTAGAGGGAAACTAATATTACATAATACAACTCAAGTTAAACAGTGTAATAAAAAGTACAGGTTTTTATAAGCATTAAAATAACTATTATGTTAAAATTTATGTAATAAAATTAAAAGATTTTAAAAGCTTAACACACACACACAGACACAATCTTAAAAATGACCATTCAGCCAGCACTTTTTTAGAGACATATTTACCTTGACAATCTTTGCCTGCCTTGCAAACAGTCATGTGGTTCAACACACTTTTCATTGTTCTACAATGTGGCAAGTCACAAGGCTTGTATTCACCATTAGGAGCTTGTTGCTCTCTCCGCTGACATTTATGAGCATGCAACAACAAAACTAATTGTTGCTGAATTAACCGCTTCTTCTCCGGATCAGCCGTAGTAGAAACTGGTGCATTGGGATTTCCCGGTTGCTGCATTTGTTGTTGATTTAAAGGTTGATTCTAAAAAATTTGATAAAAAATATATAATATACCTTAGAGATATAAATACATTTGAAATTAAAATTTTATAACCTTGGTAACTATAAAAGTAAGTGAAATTTTTTCCTTTCATATTGCAGTGTTATTTTGATGAACCATCTGAGAAGCTTTTAAAGGTAGATAGGCTGTACAAATTCCCAAAGTTGCCATCAAAAAATTACATATGTACATAATTGTATTAGTCTAGTTTTTAATGAGGTTTAATTACAATCTAAAATTACAAGTATTACAAACCCTGAAGTCTTAAAATTTTGGGGTTTAGTCTCAAAACATCAGGGCTGATTATAAAAATTTTTAATTAGCAACATTCCTTATATATATGACAGCTAATGTAAAGCCAGACTCTCTGTAGTTAACAAAGAGCTACTCCATATTTCCTATCTGCTTGATTCATACAACCAATTTTAAATTCTAAGCTAACAAATAGTTTTTTGGGTCAGTGTACATATAACTGATTGTTTTAAGTAAAAAATCAAACCATCTATGCCATAATATTTTTTAATACCAATGTTATTTTGAGTATGTTTAAATTTTCATCTTCCAGTATTATTCAACCAGTAATTAGTTAAACCTTAAACAAGTAACTAGTTTTTCAGTATTTAAAAACTCATACAATTAATAATTATAATATTTTTTACCTATTAAATCTTGAAGACAGAATGTATTGTCTTCATTTATAATTATTGATACTAATACATGATATGTAGTGTTTAAAGAATTTATCAAATTTCAAGTCCAATTAATTAAAAACAATTCAAAATTCTTTTGTATGAATTATCGGCAGTTGAACCATTTAATATTGACAATTTAATTGTAATATCAACAGAAAAATATATTTCACTGCTAAACAACTAGTTATTACTAATTTATTGTTACATAACAAAAACCAAAATGATAAGCATGAAACAACGCAGGTTTATAGTTTTAACTTTTCCTAATTTAAAATTTTAAACCTAATATTGAATAACAATGGTGAAAACTTTTTAACTTTTACTACTAATAGTTTTTATATATACTAAATATTATATATACTAATAGTTTTTATATAATACTAAAGTTTTTCATGTAATGGAAAGTAGTGATTTGTGAGACAAAAAAAAAAAATCAATAATATATATGTATTTTTGTGTAGAACTTTTTTTATTTAAAGTTTACATTTTTTTTTTACTTCTCAAATTAAATGAAAAACTGTTATTCCATTTTTTAAACTTATCTAAAGTTTTAACAAAAATAAAATACCATTTGCATTGATGGATCATTAGCATTCATTGGTGCCATTCTTTGCATTTGTACATCCAGAATATTTGGATTTAGCTGAGGTCGATTCATATTTAATACCATTGAATTTCCACTCATATTAGGAATACCTGGTTGAAATCCTGGACCATTAAGTAGGTTATTAGCCATGACATTCATATTTGCATTCATTTCGAAACGCATTTGAGAATGCTAAAATAAAAATAAAAAGTGTTTCTGAATAAAATAATTCAAAATAAAAAAAAAAAATGAAACGAAAATAGCTTAAATAAGAAAAACAAAATTATTGAACAATAATTTTGTTTTTCTTATTAAAGCTCTATAAGTATTACAACTTAATTTAACATTTAACCAAAAAAATAATTACCATCCTTTGCATAGGTAACATTCCAGAATTTCCCATATTATTTGTCATCATCATTGTGTCCTGACAACTATTTTCTGGCATAACCATGTTGTTCATTGGACTATTTATCATTTGACCCATAGGATTAAAATTGTTTTGTATAGAAGGCATCTTAGGATTCATGCCCATTCTGAATCCAGCAGATGCCAAATTATTTTGATACAATCTATTATTTTGCATCATGTGCATATTGTTTGTAAATCCTTGATTCATGAAATTTTGATTCATGTTCATCAAGTTCATGTTTGATGCCATTGAATTTGACATACTTATTTGATTATTATAAATAGAGTTAGTTGACATAGCTTGCATTAAACTAATAGGAGTATTGTTTTGCATCATAGTATTCTGCATTGGATTACTGGTGTAGGAAGACTGAGGAGAAATAGAATTCATTATTGAGTTAGAAGTGCTAGACATTGGAACATTTGCCTGCATCATATTTCCAGACCTCATTGATGCTGGATTTAGCATAGGAGTAGCTGGTGTTGGCATGGCACTAGTACTCACTGGTCCTTGTGGCGGCATAATTTGTGAGTAAATATTCATTCCAGGTTGGGGACTTAACATTCCTAAAGCCTTAGAAACATTCATTTGAATTCCAGATGGAAGACTATGGAGACCGCCCTTCTCCATATTTGCTTGTAATGATGTTGGACCATTTGAAATAAGGTTCTCATTGGAATTGTTAATATCATAAGACTCCAAACTACTTAAAAGATCGTTCCCATTTGATAAAGAATTCTCGTTGCTACTATTATTAATGATAACATCATCTGGCAAATCATTGAGAATATTTTCATATGAAAATCCTAAAAACAAAAAAAAGTAAAACAGGAAAAAAAATTGTGAGAAAACTATAAACCTATTATATATATATAATATATATAATATATATAATATATATACATATATATATATATATATATATATATATATATATATATATATATATATATATATATTTATATATATATATATAATATATATGCGAAAGCCAGCGTTTTCACATCTTCCTAGTCTTTTTGTGCTCCTTGCTAAATAATAAATGTATATATATATATATATATATATATATATATATATATATATATATATATATATATATATATATATATATATATATATATATACACACACACACATATATATATCTATCAGAATTAAGAAAAACAAGATTGGCATAAAACTTAGAAACAGAGTTTGATCAATTGAATGCAAACATTTAGCATAAAAATGACATAAAAAAAAACACAGAGTTTTTATTTTAATCATCAACACTGCAGCCGTTTTTCAAATCGCCTTAATATGCTTATTGCATATTTCGAGAAAAATGCAATTTAAAAAAAAATTAGTAGGAGAAACTCTTTGTAAAACGTTTTTTGAAACAAATAAATTTTATCAATTTTTTCAGAACTCTTTGAGAATATGTATTCAATAACCTTTGTAGACATATAAACTAGCTTATTTTGTGAAAAAGTCAAAACTGATATTTTTTACGGCATTTTGAAGAATGGCTGCAGAACATTTCTATAACAATTTGAAAAGAATAATATTTTCCTACCCCCCAAAAATTTGTTTTTAATCTTTTTACAATTTCAAACTATAAATTTTTATCAAAAAACAAAAATAATTTTTTCATGAATTTTGTTTAATTTTTTATTTCAATGTGTTTAAATAATTTTTTTTTTTTTAATTGAAAAATAATGATCTTTTTAAATTAATAATCTTTTTAAAATTTTAAAATTAAAATCTTTTTCTTTCATTCATTTTTTTAAACACAACTCACGTTAACTTTAACATTTATATTATTAAAAATAAAATTACATAAATAACCTATTTACAATTACCACATTAATTTTAAAAACTGTTAGAACAATATAATTATCAAAAAAATTTACACATGAAAATTAAATTTGTTATTTAAAAATATTATATTTCTTTATTATTTATTTTTTAAAACAATTAAATATGTAACATAACAATTTTCCGTTTGCATATTTTTTTATTTGAGGAGGCAGTTGTTTAACCAACAGGGTGCTGACCAAAATATTAGCTTTTTTTGGTTGGGACCCAGTTGGATTAACCCAATATATTATATTTTTTTAAATTTCAGTAAATATATATTTTTTAAATATATATAATTTTACTTTAATGCTAATTATATTATAAAAACAATACTTTATAAACATATATAAAATGCTGCTATACTGTTTATATGTGTATTAAATATCTTAATTTTATTAACTAATTTAATTTTTTATATATATTGTTGTTATTATGAATTATTATTATTATTTTTTTACTTATTTCAAACTTTCAGCTTTTTATTTTGGCTAGCAGGTTTTGCAAGATTTCAATATATTTCTAAAATGTATTGTTTAACTTATATAAGCTCGAAATAATATATTTTATAAACCTAAACTACTAACTTACCTCCTGAATGATCTGCAATTGGAGTTTCCAGTGGTGAATCAGCTCTTGGTCGCTTTGAAGGAGGTCCTTTATTTTCTCCCATACGATCTGGGTCAGACATCATTTTTAAATAGCTAACTTTAACGCTTCATATTTTTATTTTGATAACTCACATTAATTTTTTCTGAACTATTGTAGTATTTTGTTCAATTTTTTCAAATTTAACTTTACATTTCTACTTTGCATCTAGAAATAGATCCTTAAAAATAAATTACCTTTATTATTTGTTGCATACTTACTAAAAGGTGATTATATAAACAAATAAAAAAAATCAATGAAATATCAAAATGGCCACCGTTTACCATAATAAAGTGGCATTTTAGATATAAATCAATCAAAGTTTTTATTGTAATTATTTTATACAAAATACCAGTTTTATTAAATCAACAAATTATAAGAATAATCCAAAATAAATTTACTTTATAATAATAATGATTTTCAGCATTTACATACACAAAAAAAAATTATAGAAATCTCTGTAAACTTTTTACGGAGAACATCAAGCGAAACACAGACTTCGCGGGGGATCAAGCAGGAAAAATCGTCACTTTGCATATATTAACATAAATAATCTTTAAAAAGCCGTTTCTTACTGAGTTAGCAATAAATACAAAACAAAATACTTTAGTTTATTGCAAAAATCAATAACTATAATTCCATTTAGGAGACCAAAACTTTGATTTAATTCAAAATAAATAACAAAGTTTTTTTTTCTAAATAATAGTTTTACATAAAATTGAAGTTTCGTTTTTTTAAAATAAAGGGTTTATATGTTTTAAACATTTTAAACAAATTATTACAAACTATGGCTAATTTTGTACAGAACTAACTTAAAGCGAAATATGAACTTCGACTTGGCCGCATTTTAACTATCAGGGTAAGTAACGTCGTTAAGTTCGGCGTTTCACTAGAAATATGTTTTAGTATATCTTTTAACGCATAATGGCAGTTGGTTAGGCTTAACTTGTTATCAATTACTTAAAATTTAACTTGCTATTAAATAGTTAAAAAATAATTTCTAATATTCTAAAATATTTTTATTTAAATTGTTAAATTAGTACTAAAAAAAATTGAATTATTTTTAAACCTTTTCAGTATTCTGTTTTCCAATTACACACGCCTCAGATAAAGTGTCTGTAGGGGTTTTTTAATATTATGTTAATATATATTATCGATACTACTATTATACATGTAGAGTAATACACAAATATATATATATATATATATATATATATATATATATATATATATATATATATATATATACATATTATTTAAAATATTATTGTCTTTTAAACTTACTAATATATATAGCAATACCCTTTTATGTGTTCAAACATATATTTATTTTTAGATAAAATGGCACCTCAGCTAAGAAAAATGCTTCATAGAAATATTATCAAAAATATTTTGATTGGTGCATCATTGGGAGTTGCAGCTGGTTGTGCTTGGAAATTTGGATATGTTGAACCAAAAAAAGCCAAGTATGCAGCTTACTACAAAGATTTTGATGCAGATAAAGCAGCAAAAGAGTTAGAAGCAAGATTGGCCGCAAAAGGCATTTCAATTTGAAGTTACTAATATTTATCAATGTTACAACGTGAAACTATTTTATTGCAATTTGATTATTATAAAGTTGTGTGTTATGATTTAAAAGTTGTTTCTGATAATTAACATTTTTTGTTATTATTACTTGAAATTGTTTTTAATAGTTGCCATGCAACTAATGTATTAAAAATAAAAACTATGATCATCTTACAGATAATCAAAGTAAAGTAACAATGAATTTATGAAAGATCAAAGTTTTTGTTTTTTTTTATAGTAAAACAATAGATATTTTATTATTTTTATAGTTAGCTTAGTGATCTATGAGTATTTTGTTGATAAATTTTTTTTTCGAAATGTACTTTTAAAAATTTTCTTTAAGTTCATATGGATCAATTTTATATTTTCTATGCTACTTTGAGACAGTTTTACTTTATTATAAGAAAAGGTTGGTTTTGTTAAATAAAAGTAGTTTCATATATTGAAATACGTATTACACCAACCTTGGCCTGTAGAATTCAGGTTCCAATGCTGTTGGACCAATAGTAAGTACTTAAATCGTTTCTTTTGATGTCAACACTTTTTCATCAGTCGCAGTTTACTCAAAAGTTCTGTCCTTTGAAATAAGTGGCTTATGACCACCTATGAAGTAAGTGAATATGCTTTGATGAAAGCATAGCTGTGGTTAGGCTACTCCAAATCCCCGTTTCCCAATTGGAGGTCTATTATTAATTATTATTATTAGTAGTAATACCTAAAAAAAATTTTCAAGATTTTGGGGCCCTATTGACAAGCTTTAATGTGGTGGTGGGGCTCCAAGCCATGACATTAGTTAAAAGTACTCTCAATTGAGCCCAAAATTCCTAGTATCGAATTGCTCTATGACGCCAGAAAAAGAGTTAAGTTATTAAGTTAAGTTAAGAGTTATGCATAAGTGAAATTGCCGAAACTCCTTTTACTGCACACATTTATAACATGTCAATACATAAAGTTTTTATGTATTGACACTAAGGACGTTATTTTAGTGTGCATGAAGAACGCCGCCTGAGTTTAATAGTTGGTTGCCCCCTGAGTTTAATAGTTGGTTGTCATATGGGGGCAATTATTGTTAATTTTTTCTGACAAATTAAACTATGATTTATATCATACTAGCAGTAAGCAACCCGTAATACGCGTTGTTAGTAAATAAAATTAAAAAAACCGCGTATAGAAAAGCCAAGAAACTACTTTAAAATAGAAAAGCCTAGAAAATGGCGTAATTCGACTAATAAAAATAATATTAAATTAGCGTATTAATATTATCAGAAAACGCAAAATTGAACATCTGATCAAGCAAACAAAATCAGTTAATTAACGGCGAAAACTGCCTAACAAAATACTTTTGCGTGGTATTTAGTGACAAGATCATACGGTTTTATGAGAGTATTTTTTTTTTAAATCACTTCAATATTATTACTTTATATATATATATATATATATATATATATATATATATATATATATATATATATATATATATATATATATATATATATACAGGGCCGGCGCGAGTAGGTGTCACGTGGGGGGGGGGAGTGCCATTACAACTTTTGCCGACTAAAAAAAAAAAAAAAAGGTCCTCGTCTTCCAAAATTTGCCGACAGTCATGACGACATTTCCACATTTGCCGACTAACTAGGTCCAATTTGCCGACTAAGGGCAAATTGGAGTTTCCAGTGGTGAATCAGCTCTTGGTCACACCCCCCCTATCGCGCCGGCCTTATATATATATATATATATATATATATATATATATATATATATATATATATATATATATATATATATATATATATATATATATAAGAAAGATAAAGTCTGAAGATCAAAAAATACATAAGAAAGAAAATGTCTGAAGATCAAAAAATACAGTAAAATTTTTTGTGATTAGAAACTTAAATAAACTTAATGAATTTGCTATATATTTAAATCCTTTTTGATAAATACTCCATATATTTGGTCCTCGATATGTAATGCTATACTCAATATATTTATTGAGGTTTTGAGGCAGTTTATTTGTGTTACTTATATTTGCTCTTAGATAATAGTTTTCATTTTTATTTATTTCAACCTTGTTATTAAAGTTTTCAGGATTAAAATTAATGTTGAATCGATACATAAAAATTAAATGCTGATGGATATTTATTTCATAAGTATCATTTTCATATCTTTCATTATAGGTTCAATGAACCCACGCTTGTTTTTAGAGTAGATGATTGTGCACACATGTTTTTGTAAAGCTATAAACTTTTTTTAAGTTTTGATGGTTGCGTACTTGCCCATGATATATTTGCATAGCTGATCAAACAATGAATTAGTCCAAAATTTATTAGTTTGAGATTTTTTATTGATATACAAACAAACTCACTACATCATACTAATTATATTGGTGATCTTTGACTGAATATATCTTATTTGAGAATACTAGGATAAATTCTCATCAACAAAAATTTCTAGAGAATCTTATACTTGTTTATTAAATAACTTATTATTTAAGATAAGGTCAGGCAACTGAAGAGGATGATTTATGGTGTTTTTTTTATTGAGTAATATATAGTTTGTTTTCTCTGAGTTTAACGAGAGTTCATTAGCCCTAAATCAATTATTTACTTTATTTATTTCAGCCTTCGTGTCTGCATATAATTTTTTGATATCATTGTTAGTAAGAAATAGATTCTTTACTAAAAACGATATCAGTTTTAAAGACGCATTACAAAAATCATTTATGCAAATTAAAAACAGGAGTTGACCAAGAATAGATCTTTGGGAGCTTCACATAAAACATTTAGCACTCCAGATTGTATATTACATATGTATTGTTTTCTATTGGTAAGATAACTTTTAATCCAATTGTAAGTTTTATTAATTATACCATAGTACTTTAGTTTATCTAATAAGATGCAATGGTCAACAGTATCAAATGCTTTTGATAAGTCTATAAAAATAAAATAAAACTTACGTAGTAAGTTTTATTTTATTTTTAAGTAACTTAAGTAAATTTGCTTTGTTTAAAATCATTAGTTATTTGATTAACTATTTCAATGATTGCATGCTCAGTTGAGAGGTATTTTTGAAATTTAAACTGGTTTGTGTAAAATAATTTGTTTTTAATGAAGTGAATAGATTCTATTATAAATTACACGTTCGAAAACTTTTAAAAATACAGAAAGTATTAATATAGTTCTATAGTTGTTTATGTCTGAATGTTAATTACATTTAAATATAGGAATTAATTTTTCTAATTTAAGTCCATCAGGTAAAATCCTAGAAGTTATCGATAACTTTAATACATAGATCAGAGGTCTGCTTAAGCTGATTTTGTTGAAGATAACTAATGTAATCTTTATTCTTAACTTTTGGTTTTTTGTAATTTTTTACTGTTATTTTTATATATTTGTATATATTATATAAACTCCAAAAATAGTTATATATTTTATATATTATATGAACTCCAAAAATAGTTTTCAAATAAAATACCAAAAATAATTATCTAACTTAATTAATTATAAGTATATATATACTTATAATTAATTAAGTTAGAAAAGTTTTTTTAAGTTTTGATAATTATTTTTGGTATTTTATTTGAAAACTATTTTTGGAGTTCATTACCAACTCTATACAAATTTATAAAA